GTACGGACATGGCTAACTCGACTCAGCTCGTCGCGCTCATCATTTACATTCATATAATATATACTTTATATGGTTTCTAACGTTTCCTCACGGGTGTTACAAATTTAATGGGAAACTTAATGAATAAAACTTGGGTCAAACGCCAAAAGAATTATAAAAAAATTTAGTTCTGTTTTCTTTAAAAATTAAATGTTTTATTAATTCGACGACTTTAAAAAAGCTATTTTAGGTTTCTAAAGGAAATGAAAGTACATCTGTGTATAGTTGTTCAACCAATGTAATGATCATATTGTTTTAAGATCCATCAACAGACCTAATGTGAATTGTGAATTTTGTTTCACGCGCGCCAGCATACTGTTTTATAGAATTTTACTTCCCAACAAGGTAGTTATGTTCAACTGTGTAAGCCTTTTTTCACCATTATCTTACCTGGCGAAAGGGTTCTCAGCAAAGCGGCCAAACAATGCAGCTATCTGCCGATGGCCCAGCTAGCCAAGTGGCCAACTTACAACACGAATACAGGCCGCAAGTAGTCAACCATAAACTTATACATATGCACACATGCATGTGTACCTATGTATTGCAGATACGCATGCGCAAGGCATTAAGTCAGCACGCTACTAATATTCCGCGATCGGAGTGGACAAAGCGTCATCGTTGTGATCGTAACGCCATCGCATTGTTGTCTTCGCCATTAGTTGGCCCTTTTGCCAATTTTTATGCCAGCCCGCATGTAATACATTCTATTTGCAACAACAAATAACACGGTTATATCGTTGCTGTAAAACGCGTTGCCAACATAAATATTTACCAATGTGTAAAAGACGATAAATTTCCACAGCCGCATTAAATGCGACGACATCAGAGCAAAGGCGCTTTCGTTGCCTACCATCGTGGACTTCTTGGCCACTTGCTTATTTTGATCCAATACACATGCACATATGTACTTACATACGAGTGTTAATATATGTGTGTGTGTGTGTCTCTTCTTCACTGACTATGTTTGGACGATCGGTTTGCAGACTTTGCTTTGTAGTAAATATTCGCTCAGATTGACCATTCCAATTGAATTTGTTGTTTGTGTTGCTGGCACCAGTGTTGTTGGCATCGTCATCGTCATCGTCATCATCATCATCATCAACATCATTGCCGTTCTTTGTTGCGCTTCTGCTTGCAATTGTAATGAGTAGTCGATGTTCGCAATGTTGTTGTTGCATTTATTTGCCGCTGTTGTCTTATGTGGCAGCAATTGCATGCCGCCACACATAATTCTGCATTATTGGCCTTGAAGATCCTAAGCCAAAGAAAAGAGGTCATTGTCGTATAATGGTAAGTTTGTGGTCAACGCGCAGGCGCAATGTAAGGGTGGCAAATATACTGGCACTAAACACACTCATACACGTGTATGCATACGCATTGTTGTACTTACAATTTAGCTTCTGGCCTGCACTCCCAACTGCAACCGATCCAGAGCTCCCTAGCGCTAGCCGACTCGTTGCGTTGGTCAATGGAAAGGGAAACTTAAACTACGACATTGTACCATCGCTTTGCTTGTCTCGCATTCGCATTCGCACACGTGTACGTAACTATCAAAGAAACATCACATTGATCGCAATTAGTAATTATGTAAAATTTAGTTGGGCGTAAGATTTGCGTGTTTCGTTCTTTCGTGCTTTCGACGCATTTTTTGCTCCAGAAAATTGGCTAAATGGCATTGTCGTCTTGTCTAGTCGACTCTAGTCTAAATTTGAGGTAATTTAGATTTCCATGTAAATGATTGGCTTTGTGCTGCCATTCTACTTGCCCACAAGCTGCTACGAATCAATCGGCACTGAACGAGTCTTTCTTCCGATGCGCTGTGTGACGGACAAGAAAAATACGATTCAAAGTGTAGTGACTACTTAAAAGTGCTAAGCCCCGAAGGTGATGAGAAGTTCCTTGTTTAACTATGGTCGAATTAAAAACATTGCGTATTCTGGAAAGTTTGGATATATTTTTCGCAAATCAACGCATCCGAAATCTACGTAAATAATGTCTGGTTAACGACGTGAACAACGAAATATTTTCTAGAGATAAACATTGCTAAACCTTTAAAAAAACTTATTTTAAGGGGTTGGGGGTAGTCAGAATTTTCAAAAAATCAATAAATATATATCAATAAAGTAATATCTTGAAAATATTCTTTGAAAATTTACTTTTTGAGTTATTCGACAAATAACAAGGAGCGCTTGGGCATTTCAAAGCGTTCGGAAGCAGGTAGCTAGCGTTTAAGTGCGTTTTTCTCAAAACTATGTTTTTTGAACTGGTGACAACTGTAACTCCAAAACCGCTCAGTAGATTTTAATGAAATTTATACCTTTTTTTCAAAAATTTCGATTTTTTAAATCCAATTTTTCTCAAAAATCTAAAAAAAATTTCCTGAGGCCGACATTTTGTTAATTTTTGAAAAAAAAGTTCGATCAGGCCCAGGATTACCTATATATAAAACTAATTTTTTTTATCCGATTGATTTTAAATGAATCTCCAAGGATTTATAATTGTCACCGCAAGGACCTTTTTTTTAGAACTGGGTCAACACAGACAGCTATAAGTTTGGAAATTAAAATTTTTGTTTTTTGAAATTTTCGTGTCTTCAAGTCAAAACATTTTATAATAATGCCATATTACCACTTTTGTAAAATTACTCAATTCTCATTTTTTCGCGCCTTTGACTACCTAATTCAAAAAGTGTATGTGGCACTCGGGGACTGCCGCGATAAAGCTATTAGCATTTTTTATCAACTTATGCAGCTATAATTATTTATTTATTTTTTATGCAATATTTTTTTTCTTTTATTGAATGAGAAGTTAATATTGTTTAAAATATTTTTATTTTCTTATAATACATGTAGGTTATTCAGTAATTTTTATCATTGAAACCATAACTGAAATAAGAAACATAAGTTTGAGACTTGATATTCTCTAAACATCTGGAAAATACCGCATCAATGGTATTTTGTTGTGGATTCTTGTGGATCATTATTCATTTTCAAATTAAATTTTTCTGAAAGAAAATTTGTCAACCGCTTTGATATTTTATCAGCGAAGTTGATTTTGAAATTGCCAGCCAAGATAAGTGGACATTTACCAACATTGATAACCCGATTGAAATACCTAATTTCAATTGTATTGTTCAAGTCAAACTGGATACTGTTCCAAAAGCGTGAGGTAGCTATTTTCCAAAATATGTTACTAATATTATGACTCCGAATTTGAATCATTTATTTTTATTAATTAAATTTTTATCAAATTCCATATTTTTTTTTACCATTAAAAAACTTGTATCTTAAATATTATTTCTTTTGAATCACCCTGCTATCTCGTATCATATAGCAACCTCTTTATTTTCTTGTTTGTTAAAACTTAACGCACGTTTTGATTTTATTTAAGGTTATACTCTCCAAGAAAAAAAAACGCAACGAACAATCGTGATAGCATTTTTAAAAAAAAATTGTAACTTCTAAAATAGTTCTAATAAAAAAGAAAATAGTAGTTTAAGAATTTTGATTTACGAGCAATGCGACGCCAAATTAAGAAATATCATGTTCATATGTGACATTTTGTTGACCAATGAAATCAGGCTTAAGGCCTAGTGTCGTTTTGTTTGAGTCCTGGCCATCAAGGCATACGCAACTTAGACAGTCAACTAATTATCTACACATACAGACATGTATGTATGTATTTAAGCAGTTAGCACAGCAGGTCTACGGTAAATTGTGAAAATGCCATTTAAAGGTAAAATCCCTCACTTAGAACGCGGCGCCTACTGTGCGCATGACTAGCTGATATTACTTGTACAATGAGTAATCTGCAGCGTTCATAAATCTTATGTTTTAAAAACACTTAAATGCGCATAGCTTGGCAAACCCAAGTAAATAGCGGTTTAAGTGGGAAATTGTCTAGGTAACTGTAATTAGTTTACAATTACTTGTAGGAAATAATGCATTTTGATTATTTAATTGATGTGAATTCCAGTTCCAGTCAGAAATGGTTAGCATATACCAAAAACTTCGAAAATATATATATACAAGGTACAATTCAAAAGTTCCAGGACTTTTTAAACAACGCGGCTTCTAGTGGCGTCATCTGTCTGAAATTGTTATCCCTCAATTGTGTATTATTCAGTGTTGTCGTATAAAATTTATATAACAGCTGAATTGTATAACAGCTGAGATATCGCGCTACATGTGACATTACATTTGTAGTGTCGGTCGGAAAATGAACATCGAACAAAGAGCCAACATTAAGTTTTGTTTTAAACTTGGTAAAATTTTTACCAAAACTCATCAAATGATGAAACAAGTTTATGGCGATGATTGTCTAGCCCGTAGCCGTATTCACGAGTGGTTTAAACGTTTTCAAGAGGGACGGGAGGACTTGGAAGACGACGAACGTTCCGACCGGCCAAAAGATGTTGTGAACGAAAAAAACACGAAAATTGTGCGTGAATTTATTAAAAAAGAGCCGAAATCATCGCTTAAATATATGGAATCGGAATTATCAATATCCGCAGCGTCGATTTATCGTATTTCGACAGAAAATTTGGGCCTCAGAAAGGTTTGTGCTCGATTTGTCCCGCACACTTTGAAACAACACGAAAAAGACCTCAGAATTCAACATTCAATTTGACCAAAAATCGCATTCATATCACCAACCATTCACCCTATTCGCCTGATATGGCACCCTGCGATTTTTATTTGTTCGGAAAACTACATTTGGCCATGAAAGGCAACCGCTATGCTGACGTTGATGCCATCCAAAAGGCGACGACCGCCATCCTCAACGCTATACCGACAAATGACCTAAAAAGTCATTCGATAACCTTCTTGAACGTGCAAAACGTTGTATTCAGGCGGAAGGAGACTATTTTGAAGGCGGCCAATAAATTTTTCAAAAAAAAAAACAAATAATATTCGTTTTTCAATAAAAGTCATGAAACTTTTGAATTGCACCTTGTATATATAAGACTTTGAAAATGTCAAGAAAGTGGTATATGGTACATATATATTTAAATGATTTTACAAAAGGGATTGTGTAGAAAATTATACCTATCGATTATTTCAATTAATTGTTATTAGATTTCTATTAAAACAAACCGATTTATTATGGGGTTTCTAAATTATCATAAATTCAGCTCAGAGTGTATTAGTTAGACAACATCACATTCTTCACAGAAGTGTTGACTGGAATGGACTAATCTGTCACAATTTCACAACATCCTATCAGACAATTCACAGATATATCAGATGAGGCTTAATCTCTCAAAGATGGTGAGGTATTCTTTCGTATGCATGTTTTTTTATCTGGAATCAGTTGTTGTTATTGTGGCATTGTATTGGCAGAAAGCATCTATGAAGTAATTTGGAGGAATGCTGCTGAGTTGACAGTCCTTGGCCGCATAAAAATCCGTTTTCATTCCGGTTACGTAGACCCGACAATCATGGAGTCAGTGTTTCTACATAGTAGTTTGAAATTGATTTGTGAATATCGGAGTCCTTGCATTAACTTTAGAGTTAGATACTTCTGCTACCACCTGTGCCAGACGAATCACCTTGTTCACGCACTTTAAATACTATGCAGTACCCACAAATTAATTCCAACAAAACTGCCGCTTCTGTGAAATTTTGTATATGCATAAATACATTTGTGAATACCCTTGGATGTTTTGATCGCGTCACAGTGACATTTGCTCAATTACTTTTCCGTAATAATGAATCATAATTGCCAAAGTAGTGTTAAATGTCATTACTGAGGCGCCGAATTTGACGTTGCAGCGCTTTTGAGCGTCAAAAATTTTATTAATGTACAAATATTTATGTTTAAATTTTTAGACGGAACGGTATTGTATTGCAAAATGTTTAATGAATTATTTATATTTGCAATTTTTTCTAATTTCACAGAACTCATTCTTTGACCGAATTTAGAGCGAAAAGTGTGAAATTCAGAAAATAGGACAGAACTTGCAAATTGATTCTTTGGTGCGAATGCCCGTATGCATATAATAAGTATATCGATATTTTGTGTTATGTACCGAGGAAAAGACAGAGAGTGGCAATAGAACGAACGTTTATATGTAAATGAAATGTTTAAGCAGAAATTACTAATTTGGTTGGCGTCCGACTCGCGTTAATTCAACTTAATTTGCATGCATTATCACTAGCGCAAACACCGTCAGCTAGCAGCCGCCAAAAGCATTAAATACATACATACATAGATGTATACATGTGTATGCAAATTGTTGCGATTAACCTTAGCTTGATCATAAACCAGACTCCACACACCTTTCCCCGTATTTACATACATTCATATATAAACATTCATACCTACATACAATACATGTGTACCAATTCAATAAGGTAGGGTTTTAAATTATTTATAACAAAGCGTGACTTTTACTATTCGAATGATTCACATTTGCGACGCGTAAATATCGCACGCCTTTATTTTTATTATTTTTATCTTCGGTTTTATTGCTACTCGTGTTATACGTACAAGTATTAGGGTATATTAAGTTTGCACGAAGTTAAAATTTTTTTATTGTTTTAATTTTTCTCCTCATGATTTCTTACGACTAAGTGAGAGAGTGAAACTTGAAGTGTGCTAACTAAAGTAGTAACAACGCAGACTTAAATATTGAAGCTAAGGTCCCTTACTGTTTTGCGAATAAGAAAAAATTTTAAATTATTGGAAATTAAGTGGTTATCAACCAAATTTACTTAATTCCACACCATACCTTTTTCTCTCTGTATTTAATCTCTTCTCAATTTGGACTCTTGCTGACATGCCATAAATTGTCGGTTTTACTGTAGCGTTTTCCAAGTTACAATATTTTGAAGATTGTTGCGAGTTGACACCACTTTGTTGGTTAAAAATCCAGGTTCGTTATTTCGTTAAGTGGATTCGACTAAGTTGGTAACGGATTTTATTATTTCTTTCCTTACCTTACTTTCATAATTTTTTATCTACATATACATATAATTGCACCCTTACACTCAATAACGATACTTTTTTTTATATTTTTTCTTATGTTTATAGAGCCCCGATATTCGAACATTCTTGGAAATTGCCTTGCCTGCAGCCTATTCAAAAAGGGATAGTGTGGATCGTGTCACACTACCAACAACATCAATTTCAAAGGAGGATGTTATTATTACAACCCCAAAAACCCTTGTGAATGAGCGGAAATCACAAACAATTGCTACACAAAACTTTCTGCCACCCGAAATTGAAGAACTTCCACACGAAGCTAAGGATATACTAAAGAGACTGTTAGAAGTCGAGCCAAAACAACGTTTGCGTTCAGTTTTGTCACTACAAAAAATTGCACTTTACAAGAACTTTAAAATTGATCCCGAATATTTGCTCAATGTAAGATAATTAATACAAAATTAACTGGAAATAACGAATTAACATCATAACTTTTTCTTTCAGCTCCGTCCAATTGATATGATAAGTCCTGATGATATTGCTGCCTTCACACAAGACCCAGAAGACGACAACTCTTGGGCAGAAAAACAATTTTACAAATTCTAACTATCATGCCAATTAAAGTACAATTTCTAGGTTTAGTTGAAATTTAAACGAACACATGAGTCGGTTTGAGGAGATCTAAATGTATTTACGCTTTTATTTTTCCAATATGTGTCATATACTATAAATATATTGAAAATAACCATAAAAAAGTAGTTATTAATTGAGAAATCTCCAAAGATTTACATAACCAGATAATGTTAATAAATAGAGAAGGCGCAAATGTTTGCTGGCTATAATGTAAACTATTAAAATTTAAAATGTAAATTTGCAAAAAGGAACTATGATATACAAGCAGCACCACAAATAATACCTAAATGTATTGCTTTAATGTATTGAGTTGGCAACTAAGTAATTGCGGTTTTTTTTTTTTTAATCAAAGACAATTTTTTCATGGAACTAAGTAACTTTATTCTGTAATGTATTGCCCAGTTTGATCAATGACCTTTTGTCATCTTTCAGGCAGCATTATAATCCCACGTTCATAAAACTTCTGGTTTTTATTAACAAAAAACTGAATCATCAAGGGGTTTTGTAAAGATCGAAACAAAAGTAATCCGATGGTGCAAGGTCAGGTCTATATGTTGGACGTGGCAAAACATCCCAACCAAGCTTCAATAATTTTTGCCGAGTGACCAAAGATGTGTGTGGCCTTGCATTGTCATGATGGAATACAACACCTTTTCGATTTATCAATTCGGGCCGCTTTTCTTCAACTGCATTGTTTAATTTCGTTAGTTGTTCAATGTAGACAACAGAATTGATCGTTCGGTTGCGTGGTAAGAGTTCAAAGTAGACAATTCCTTTATAATTCCACCAAACTGATGACAAAACCTTCTTTTGATGAATACCAGCTTTTGATTTTGTTTGAGCTGGTTCACCTGGCCTGCTCCACGATCATTTCCGCTCGATATTGTTGTAAGCAACCCATTTTTCATCGCCAGTTATCATTCGTTTTAAAAATGGTTAATTTTCATTGATACTGCCGTTCTCTTATGGCTTCGTAGCCATAAACAGCACATAACTTTTTGTGAGTTTGCGATGCGTTATTCCCTTTGCGAAAATAAAAAAGCAAAATATGATCAAAACGTTCCTTTTGATCTTCCATTTTTTAACGAACGCCAAACGAAAACTACGCAACCGATCCAAAACCAACCAAACTTTTTTTTACTGACAGCTGAATCGCCAACTATAAAATAATAAAATGTGTTTTACATTTGAACTACGCCAGCAAACCTAAAAATTCAACTGAAGCCATCTCTGTGTGAAATCCGCAATAACTTAGTTGCCAAACCAATATGAACATTATCATTTTTTACTTGTTTCAAATAATTCATTCAAAAATATATTTGCATACATGAACACATATGTACATATGTATACAAGTATATGTATGTACATATGTCCCTCAACTTCCTCTGCGAATGGCAGGCACCTTGCCGTGGTGCAGGGGCTTAAGTCGCAGGCATTCTCGGCATCTCCCAACTGGTGCGAGCGGTGCTTGCACCCTCACACTGGTTGTCAGAGGCCGTATGCGTGCGACAACCAAGAGCTGCCACCTCCTAATCCAGGGTGTTGCGACTCCCGTGCCCATTTGATGATTTGCAGCCAGGAGGTAAATTCGGCTGTATTCGAACGGAGCCTTCCCAACACCGGGCCGCATTGGGAAGTAACGGTGGCCTTACCGCGTCAAGGGGCTCTGGCGCGGCGGACTATTTGTTCCCCTTTCCAATAGCTGACCCGACGGCGCGCCTCGTCGAGCCAAGGGTCGTACGAACAAGATGAACAACAAAAACTATAACAAAACCACAACAACAACAAAATGATCTCGGCAACAACAACAGCAAACGACGATGGACATTGGTAACGACAAGGGCAGCGGTGCAGGTAAGGGCGAATCAGGGGCTAAACGCAAGTTCAGCTTCCTGGACGCCCTTTCGCCAGAGGAGCGAGCGCTGTTCGAGGAGCATGCCAGGGACGACGACGATGACATGCCCTCGTGCGGTAAAAGAAAAAGAGAACCCCACGGAGACTCTCTCGAGCAGGAGCAACTGCTCGGATGCAGAGGAGTCGCAACGGGCGACCTCCGGTGGGGCTCAAAAACGAAAAAGGAAGAGGGGAGGCAGACTACCCCCCCTGCCACCAACGGGATGTCCGGGAGGACAGGACGATCCCAGAAGAAAGGGTATGAGCGGTGCCAGCCTGAAGTGGTACCTGAGGCACCTCCAGGAGGGAAGAACTCCGGAGGTAGCAGAAAGCCTAGCGCGGAACAGGGTGAGAGGTGACAGCACTTCCCCGGCTTCCGAAAAACAAAAGGGTGGTAATACTGCGGCCATTAGGAAGCGTAATGGCAACAATCGAGGCCACTGCCCAGTAAACGCAACTCAGCCCGCAGGCCGAGGTTGCGAAAGGGCAGCTCCCTCGACCACCCAAGCGGCTAAGCGTAAAAGCGGACAGCTGACGCCACATTAGCCGAACAACACCAAGCGGCAGAGGGGCAACAACGCACAGGCGACTAGTGGCCACCGCTCCGCCCCAAACCCCCCCCGGCCAGTGGAAGGACAGCGCAGGTATGCGGACGCCCTCAAAGGCATTCGCATGGCTGTGCTGCCGCTGAACTATCCGGCGGAGGCGCTGGGTGCGGAGGAGCTCACATCGCTCCAAGACTTACTCATGGAAGAGGTATTCAGAGGGTCTGGATACAAGGCCTCCTTCCATGGGGTATATTTCAAGGGAGGCATGCTGCAGGTTGACTGCAAGGATGAGAGGTCGGCTTGTTGGCTGAGGGAGATCGCTCCCAAGCTAACAGGCTGGAACGGCCCCATCCTCTGCGCAAAAAAGGGGGACAAAATTCCGCCCATGCACAGCATGACGGTCTTCCTCCCCAGATGCGCAGGAAAGTCTTACGAGTTTGCTTTAGGACTCATTCGCAATCAGAACGATGGCCTCGATACATCGGCCTGGCGGGTGACCAAGAGCATAGCGGAGGATTCAGGATGGAAGCTCAACCTCTGCATTGATGACGAATCATACAAATTCGTCAGGAGGGTGAGCTTCCGCCTGAACTACAGGTTCAGCTCGGTGGTTCTGAGGCCGTTCAAGCCAAAAACGATCACCGAGGGCGATGCGGGAAAGGAAATGCAGGTGGATGAGGTTGCGACTCAACCCTGCGCAAGTACGTCAAAGCAGGCGGCAACTGCTGAGACAATGGCGAAGGTCCCTTCCGAGAAGACGGGCGAGCAAGGAGGGGTGCTACCCTCCACTCAGGAGCTTCTGGAGGGGCTCACAAACCTGGCGGGAGACATCGCGGAGGACGGTGAGCATGAGGATCAACTCCTCATGGAGCCGATCCTGTAGTGGGGCCGCGCTTAGAAGTTGCCCAGGTGAACCTGCATCACGCGGCGTCGGCCTCGGCGGTTATCGCGAGCAGGTTCACGATGGATGGACTGGGCATACTGCTGATCCAGGAGCCATTGGTCAATAAAGGAGAGGTCAGGGGCCTCAAAACGGAGTCAAATAAGGTAATCTGGGATCTCTCAAGTGAGAGACCTAGAACCTGCATAGTACTTAGGAACGGTATTGACTTCTTCTGTATTTCAGAGTTCCTAACTCAGGACCTGGTCGCTGTGCAAGCGAGGAACGACGAAGGAGCGGACTTCGTCGTGGCAGCGGCCTATTTTCCGGGGGAGACTCCGACAGCACCCCCAGAGGCAGTCGGCAACCTGGTGGAGTATTGCAGGAGGAATAAGCTGCCCCTCATCATGGGCTGCGACGCGAATGCCCACCACACCGAATGGGGCAGCACGGACTGCAACACACGGGGTGAGTCTCTTATCGAGTTTATAGTCAGTAAGAATTTAAGTATAGCAAACGTGGGGTGCGAACCCACCTTTGTAACTAGTGTCAGAAGGGAGGTGCTTGACATCACGCTCAGTAACGAGTCTGAGGTAGGGCTGATCTCACAATGGAGGGTATCATCGGAACCCTCCATGTCGGATCACCGTATCATAAGATTCGTGCTGGGGATGGGGGTCAAGCAACTCCCTCCCAAACGTATCCCTGGGAACACGGACTGGGCCGTTTTTAGGGAATCGCTTGGAACAAGAATTAGCAGTAGGGAGCAGCTGGATAGAAGCGCAACGGCTTCTGGATTGGAGAGCAGACTGTCTGCCCTAAACCAATCCATTATAGAAGCTTATCATAGCAGCTGCCCCCTAAAGACAACCGCCAAGGGCGGTAAATGCTCCTGGTGGTCTAGTAAACTCTCAGTACTAAGAAAAACGGTGCGCAAGCTATTCAATAAGGCTAAGCGCACCGGAAACTGGGCGGATTACAGATGCAGCCTAACTGCTTATAATAAGGAGATTAGGACCGCGAAACGGAAGAGCTTTAGGAAGTTCTGTGAGAGCGTCTCCTCAACGCCAGAGGCAGCTAGACTGCATAAGGCTCTGGCTAGAGGCAAGACGGACACAGCACTAGCGATTAAACGATCTGATGGGACCTATACGTCCAGCGCAGAAGAAAGAGCTACGGCTCTTCTACTAGCGCATTTCCCGGAGACGATTCAAGAAGACCAGATTCGACCTATGGTCGAACGAAGGCCGTCACGCTTGGACTGGACAGTCGCAAAACAGCTCTTCACTGCAGACTCCATCAAGTGGGCGCTGGCCTCCTTTGAAAAATATAAGTCACCGGGTGCGGATGCTATCCTTCCAGCTTTTCTGCAACAGGGGGAGCAGGTGCTACTGCCCCACCTTGTTCGGCTGATGAGGGATAGCCTAGCGCTGGCGTATATCCCAGAACCATGGCGCACCGCAAAGGTGATCTTCATACCCAAAGTAGACTACTCATTGGCGAAATCGTTCAGGCCAATCAGTCTTACTTCCTTCCTACTCAAAAGTATGGAAAAGATCATAGACCACGAACTACGATCGAAGGTGCTGAAGGCTTCACCGCTTCATGAGAAGCAACATGCCTACAGAGCAGGCAGGTCAACAAACACTGCTCTGTACCAGCTAACCTCAGAGATCCAGAAGTCGTTAGATGGGGGCGAGGTGATGTTATGCGCCTTCCTCGACATAGAAGGTGCCTTTGACAACACGTCTCACGAGAGCGTGTCAAGAGCACTGGAGAAAAGGAGCGTGTCAGCACCAGTGCGCAGATGGATTACAGCCGTACTGCGCACTAGGGTGGCGGAAACCGCAGTAGGAGAAACTAAAATTCGTCTGGGAACAACAAGAGGCTGCCCACAGGGTGGAGTGCTATCCCCCCTACTTTGGAGCCTAGTTGTGGACGATCTCCTTGAGCGGCTGACTAGCAATGGAATTCGCTGTCAGGGATATGCGGATGACATTGTTATCTTAGCCAGGGGTAAATTTGAAGACACACTCTGCGATATCGTTCAGAGGGGATTGGGACTGGCAAAGGGATGGTGTAGTGGAGTTGGCTTAAGCATCAACCCCGCTAAAACTACAATCATTCCCTTCACCAGACGGAGGTCACTGCCGGGCCTCAGGAGTATATCCCTGGACGGCAGAGTGGTTGAGATGGCCAGCACGGTCAAGTACCTGGGCCTCACGCTGGATTCCACACTACGATGGAATCAGCATGTGAACCAGACCTTAACCAAAGCTACTAAAGCACTCATGGTGTGCAACCTACTTGCTGGAAAATCCTGGGGGTGCTCCCCAAGGACTATCAGGTGGATGTACACCATGATCGTGAAACCGATTATCACGTATGGAGCGGTATCGTGGGGTTCGAAAGCATCGCAGACTTCGGTAGGACTTAAACTGTCGAAGCTGCAAAGACTTGCCTGCATCTGCGCGTCGGGAGCAATGCGAACGTGTCCGACCGCAGCACTGGAAGTCATGCTAGAACTTTCACCGCTACACCTGGTAATCAAACAGACTGCCAAACGAACTCTGCTCCAAATGACAGCAGAGGGAGCTGGCAAAGGGAAGGTAATCTCATCCCAACAGATGAAAGAGCTAAGTGAGGAAATACCACTAGCCCTTCTCCCAAGGGATAGCATTACCAAAGTAGTAAACTTCAGAAGGAAGTTTCAAGTAACCCTTGGCAGCAAATCTGAGTGGAATGACTCTTCACTGGACCGACTGCTAAAGGGTAGCACCATCAAGTGGTACACCGACGGGTCGAAAACGGAGGAGGGGATTGGTGCAGGGGTCGCTGGGCCAAGCACCAAACTCTCCATTCCCATGGGAAGTTTCCCAAGCATTTTCCCAGCCGAGGTCTATGCTATAAGTCGGTGTGTGGGGATAAACCTCCAACGCAACTATCGCAATAAGAGTATTGCTATACTCAGCGATAGTCAGGCGGCACTAAGAGCGATCTCAGCCTATGAGGTCACATCTCTCCTAGTGATGGAGTGTATAGAACAGCTGAACAGCCTATCTAAGCAAAACCGAGTACACCTTATTTGGGTGCCGGGCCATAGGGGTATAGCTGGGAACGAGCTAGCTGACGAGTTAGCCCGCTCTGCAGCCTCTACGAAAATGGTAGGGCCGGAACCATACATAGCGGTTGGTCCACACACCATCAAAGAGCTCCTCCGAAGGGAGGAAAGAGCAAGCAGGGAGATACATTGGCAACAACTTCAGGGCATGCACCATGCCAGACTGCTGTTGGGGGGTTACGACCTCAAGCGGTTTAAAGCCATAATTAATCTCCCCAGAAACAAATTCCGGCTACTGGCAGCGTTCTACACCGGCCATTGCAGGCTCAAGAAGCACCTCTTTAACATGGGCATAGCCTCTTCTGCAAACTGCCGGTTCTGCGACATAGAGCCGGAAACCCCTGAGCATCTGCTGATGAACTGCACAGCAGTCTGCAGACGCAGAATCAAGGCCCTGGGATCCATGTTTCCACACAGGGATCGTATCGCCTCACTAGCACCCAGCAGAATTTTGGAATTTATCAACATGCTGGGCCTAGATGACACGATATGACTTAGGGGAGGGCACAATAGACCATAGGTCGCGGTGCATACCTCGAAACTAATCTAATCTAATCTAATGTCCCTCAATATGCGTTTTGTAAAAACATAAAACATTCGCGCGTATGCTACAAAACGAAGTGCGATCGTTTATAACTCTGCACTGCGCTCTTTTTTCTGTGCGCCTGTACAACCAAATTTGATTTTCATATGGAATTCCTACCGCAAAAATTGAAGAATCAGCACAATTTGTATCACTGAAAATCCTACCATCCACCTCGCATTTGTATGTTGCCCACGAGCTGCTTCCTCACAACATTTGCTAAAAATCAGAAATTGAAGAATTTGTCTGATGTTTCCTTCAGAAAGGAGAATTGGCAGCATGGTCTATTAGCGACTTGAAATATTTTTTAAATTTACTTCCTATAACTCATTATATAATATATGACATTATATTATAAAATTGCCATTTATATGAAATTCCTTATTTCATATGGTGCTTATGAATCGCCGTTACTTCCATTGCGAGCCACCATAATCAGAGGCGTTTCACCGGAGGATTTTATCATATCATATTATTGTATTGTTTAATTTGTATAGAAAAATACTGATATATTAGGGCTTAGTTACTCAATATTATAATATTTACGTAAAAATATAAATACTCATAAATTCATACTTATTTGAACGTTTTTAAAATAAATTTGATTAATAAAAATATATCTGAAATAATTATGTGGCAGTGCGCCCCTGACCCTCCTTGTCAGCGATCGTTCAACTTGCTTCGTTCTAGCTGTTCTTGCAAAAAGCAAAAAGTGAAGTTTTTGTTTGTTCGTGGCAAGAAGAAGCAAGCATCAGCGTACGTGTGTTTAAGAATGTATGTGTGATTATCACTTTTGTGTAAATACGCATAAATAAGGGAATATTTAATAAACCTAAACATATGAACATATTTTCCTGAAATATTCTAATTATTTAAGTGAGTAAATGTAGTATGCTATTTAAGTAACTGAATTGCGATCAGCTAAAATGTCAAATAAAAAAGTAAAATAAAAATAAAAATTAGATTTGTGAGTTTCAGGATCCGAACGTAAGCGTTTGTATTCGAAATGGCTTAACTCCTTCACGCTCACGACCTGAGCCACCGCAAAAATTAAGCTTTAACCACTAATCCTTTATATAACTTGAAGGTTTATTTAAAATTACAAAAGTCATGATATTTTGGTAATATGCAAATGTAAATCAGCAAGCGCACAGTTCATTCAAAAACATTATTTGTCTATTTGTGTCTATTTATAGCATTTTCTCCATTTCGATCATTGCGTGGTGTATTTCAAAAGAGTCGAAGTTGTATTTTTCGATGTTCCCTCTTGTGAAAAGCTCAATTTAGTACTTTTTACATTTGCGCCTTCTCTATTTATTAACATTCTCTACTAGCGACGAAGGAAAAGATAAAAATCATAAATTGAACAAATTTCTGATGTTCCCTCTAGAAGGGAAAAGTTGCAACGCCGTAAATATGAGTATTAAAATATTTTAGAATATAAGTGACAACATAGTATATTTGTCGGTTTACAATTCAAGAAACTTTTTAAAGAAAATATTCAATATTCCTCTGATTTATGTATACAGTAAACCCCGATTAAGTATCACTCCTCCAATTCCTCTTATCTGCCTGTGTCTTGCTGCATCTCACGTTTTTTTTTTCTTAATAACTTAAGGAAAACGGTATTTTTTTTAAATACATAGAAATTATATGATATACGGTCTCTGATATGACATGAAAAAATCCTCACAAATGTCTCAACAACAATCAACTGTTCGAATTTTAGCAGAGAACGTATATATACGATATACGTTCTCTGATGTCAGCTGCAAAGTAAAAAACATCATTAAAAAAATATACAAAATACACTGCAAAAGCAAATGTCAACGTAAGTTTTTTTTCGTTGTGCTGCCGACGATGTTTTAATTTTCGCTTGTTCTGTTTGCAAATGAGCTACATTAGGTGCGATAGTGGTTATAACTGAAAATATTACCCAAAAATACACGTCACAAAACAGATTAGACTGATAGTCAGCAGGAAGCGAATGTTTGCGATTTCCTGGCGTTGGCGGAGGCGTTGCCTTAATTTGGTGCAAATTTAGTTTGGAATAGAAGTGTAGCCGCTGGAGTTGCTTAGCGCCAATAAGCCAAGCTTTGACCTTTGCAACGAAAGCAATCGCTATAAAATAATAGTACGAAAATCAAAAACGCCATAAGAATATTACATCAATTAAAGTAACCAGCGAGGGATTACTAACAACTGCAACTGGTGTCATTTACATTTACTATTTCTTAGCATTATTATAAGTTGAACGATTTTTGCGGAGTAATTGGCAAAAGCTAAAGTCAATATGGCATTCCAATCATTGGTTAGATTCTATATGGAGATACCGACAGTGACTCGCATATATACAACAGCATGTGTACTGACGACTCTAGCAGTGGTAAATTTGTGATAATATATATATTTTGGTGATTCCATATAACAAACGTCAATTTTTAGCACTTGGACCTGGTGTCTCCGCTGCAACTATATTTCAATCCCACGCTCATACTTTGGAAACTACAAGTTTGGCGACTTGCCACAACATTCCTATTTTTCGGTTCAGTGGGCATAAGTTTCTTTTTTAATATGGTTTTCACATATCGGTATGTTTGTAAATTTAACGATTCCATTTTGCTTATTGCATGTAAATACCTTTTCTCTCACCTTCAAGTTATTGCCGGATGCTGGAAGAGAGCTTCTTTCGCGATCGCACAGCGGACTTCGTCATGATGTTTCTCTTCGGTGGTGGATTAATGATCTTCTTTGGTCTCTTCGTGAACCTACTGTTTCTCGGTCAAGCCTTCACATTAATGTTGGTTTATGTGTGGTCCCGCCGAAATCCTTTTGTGCGTATGAGTTTCTTTGGCGTACTAAACTTTCAAGTAAGTAAATTCAACCAAATAAATAAAAGAAAAACTATAAATACAATGTAATTAGCAACACTAATGCCTGTGCGAGAAAAATTTATTTATATATATTTATCGATAACTTGATTTGATTTGATAACATTTGATAAAGAAGCTTTAATATAATTTTTTCACTTTCAGGCGCCTTACTTGCCATGGGTCCTAATGTGTTGTACAATGATACTAGGAAACACTATTTGGGTTGATGTAGTTGGAATGGGCGTGGGTCATATTTATTATTTCCTGGAGGATGTGTTTCCATTTCAAGCGAACGGTTACAGAATCCTTAAAACGCCACATTTTCTGTACGTTAATCGCTATTTAGTATAAAAAAAAATCTTTCTAACCATATATAACAACATTGAATTTATAGGAAAGTGCTGTTTAACGAGCATATTGAGAACAACATCCCTCCATGGGTAGGCGACCGACCGGGCGGTTACCATTGGGGTGCCGATGAAGCAGAAAACGTGGGTGCACAGGTAGCGGACGCTGGCGCAGGTGATGGCAACGATGTTAACCAACGATAAAAATAAACTAGTTTGTTTTTGTACTTCTACCATCCAATGTACTGAGACAATTGCACACATATTTCATAAAAAAATTAAAACAAATGGGTATAGGAGAAATGTCTTAGCACATATATACATTAAATAAAAGTAATTAAATAGTGAAAAGGCAATAAATAAACCAAATGTTTAAAAATATAAATCCAACTTGTCAATACCATTCAACTTGTTTATGTCGCTTTAGTTTTAGTTTTTTTTTTTTTTTTGAAGAGATCGGATTATTAAAAAAGTTTGTTTAGATTTTATACCGTTTTATTTATTTATTAAGGATTTTTTCCAAATTAAAATGCTGTTTATAAAAACGTATTTATGCACACACACATTTATGAAATATAAAAATAAAAGCCCTAGTTGTATTTAGTGTGTAGTTTATTGATCCCAGAGAATGATAATTTATCAGGATGTATGTATTTAATTTTCGAAAATGATGTCGCAAGAATTTAGGAGAGTACGAAACTGTCTATGTAAAATTAAATATTTTCATATTATTATTATTTTGTTTTACCTATAAATAAAAAGTTTAAATGCTTACCTACAAAATACAAAACACTAAACTTTAATTTTGTCTAAATGTTTATATCTTTATTGCGTTTATGATTTCATTTAATTCAGAAATATCTATTTTCATAGGTGTATTATTCAGTATTAAATCAGTTTGTTTCCTTTAATATGAGTCATTATATAAATATTTTGATATATGGTTTTGTTAGCTTGACGCACACGTGGTCGCAGAGAGCAGAGCACATGTGGATTATGGTATTCTAAAATTTGGGTTTGGTTTTTGTATGCCAAATTTACCTACCGGTTTTCAAAACTGCATAGACTTTATTATATTAGATAGATCTTTTGAATTATATCAAGCCTTTAGTTTGAAGGTTATGTAATTTTCGAACTTCCGATATTTTAATATATACGCACTGATTAATTCGAATTAAGCAAACACTATATATTATTATTATTTCAAGAGTTTTGTGTTTTATTTCCTTTAATTTTCAGTCCAAATTTTTTTTTTATTTAACTACAATTTCGAATTTGGTAAACATTATATTTTTTCATTCCATTATGCATTCGCTTCAGTAACATCCTACAACTACACAATATTTTATCAGCATTAGCTCGGTTACTACTTCGGTTATTTCGTTCAATTGTATATTATCGTAAGTAATTATATTATATGTATAAACGTATTGAGAATGATACATTTTGAAAATATTTGGTCCGTTCACTGAATCTAATATATCGTTTCGAATTTCTATTTACGATTAATTAAGTATAGTTTATTTGTTCTGTGGGTATTCATTGTTTGTTGACGAAAAGCACGTCACGTCTCATTATTGGGTACAAACTATATGCCTAACGACGTAACGGACCTACATATACAACAAATAAACATAATGTATATTGAATAAATATTTGCACAAAAGTGTTGGTAAATTTCGTTTATCTTTCTCATGAAATTTTCAAATTAACGAGATGTTTTAGATCGCGCTCATTCAAGATTTCTCATAGCTAAACCGTACAATAACATTGTAATGTAGTTCTAGTTAAAACTGTTTACACTTAATAGCGAAATAAGATCTAACGAATTAATAAAACTATAAAAAGAAAACTCGCACACGAATATTCACAAATGAACTAAACTAAAAATAGATAACTTATCATTAGGCTATACGAATAGAGGTAAAATTAATAGTAATAATCATTTAGCATCGCAGATGTTCATGTTTTTGTTGTTATTGTAATAGGAAGTGGATCACATACGTGCAAATGTGTCACAATATAGTTCCTGACACTGACACTGGCACTGACCAAACATGCGACTGCCTGCCAGATCTCTTACTCCACGACACGTGACTGTGAGATCTGTCGACAGCAAAAGCACAGCACAAACGCAGCACCGCTGCACAGCGCCAACACTTAAGAGGCGCAAAAAAACGAGAAGGTTTACACGTTTAACAAATTAAATCTAAAATTAACTTAATTTCACATTGCTACAGTTGCAAGTACCACAGTTATGTCGTCAGGTTTGCCACCTAAAAGAAAATTTAAAAAAATATTATACGTTATTATATTTATAGTATGTACTGCATTAAAACAGAGCACGGTGCATAAAAACTTTGTAAATAATATGTATGCATATACACATATACGCACCTGTTGCATTAATATTATTTCGACGGGCATTAATTGCAAAAGGCGACATAAATTCGCTGTCGAAAGATAATGAGCGCGCCATCAACGCTAATGAGTTGGCGGTCATCTGCAGTTTCACGGGATCGGTTACGCCTTCACACTGAAAAATAAAATAATAGTTCAGCAAAATTAAGAATAAAAACTATGTAGAGTATAATGCAGCTTATGACTTGAATGAAATCAGCAAAGCGGTAAACTTTTATACTTGAAAGAGTTTATCACAAAATATACCATATGACTGATTAAAAGCCAGCAAACTTTTTTCATTCAAATAAGAAATTGCATTGCTTTACAGATATTTTAACTATTTAATGTTCATAATAGCAAAGCATTTTAACTAACCTCTTTGAGTACATCGAGCAGCAAACGCTCAGGGACATTGTCAAAGACACCATCGGTAGCCACAAGTATGACATCGCCTTCCTTTACCGAAAAACTAAGCGTATCCGCCGAATCGGGACTATCGCTCAGCACGTTGTGACCATGTCCCGGTGGCGGTAAAGACAATTGAAATGGTGTATTAAAATAATGTTGCTGCTCTTCGGATTTGTGAATGATTTCGCCTTGACGCACAACCATAAAACCGCTATCACCGATATTCGCAGTATAAACGGTACTATTCTCACGGTTCAACACGAGTACACACGCGGTGCTGCTGCCTATTATATAAAAAATAAATTATAATAATTGATAATTGGTACGTATTGTAAAACTAAAAAAAGAAAGTGTTGAAAGTATTAGAAATGGAAGGAGTAAAATAAATAAAATATTTTACAGTCATCCCACATATTTACTTATTTACTAATAAATTGGCGCTTGGCATCATGCCGTGACACACATATGGTATACTTCTTCTGAATATATACATGTACATATTCATTCCACATTTTGAATGTCAAATTTTTTTTAATATTTTTATTTTAACGATTATAGGTTTGTATGTTTTGTACAATTGTACCTATACATTCATATTATATTTCAAATGAATACACATGGTACACGTCCAATAATGCATTTTATTATAACAAATCAGAACAAAGTGGTCAAAATAATAATACGAAATACATTTATAATCTATTTTTAATCTACTCATTCTTGTGTTATGTTTTGTTTTCACTTAAATGCTGAATGGTCGAAGGAAAAACGAAATTGCATGTGATTCTGACGTTTTGGTCGTAAACAAATGTCGCAACAACAATGTTAAAAGCTAGCAAATTTGGCAATTTTAAATTACATGTATAGATACATAACCACATAAGTTTATGGATAAGTTGAATTGGAATTAGAAAATTAACATTGAAAAAATTGTGATATGGAACAGTATTATTATAATAAAGCTGTAACTAATTATTACTGTATTTAATTGCTACAAATTCCGATTAGAAAAGTGGTAACTTTAATTGGGAAAGGAATGATATGACATTCAATTATAAATTATATCTTTACGGTTTCCGTAAAAGTTTTATGAAATTACACCACTTACCTAAAATGGGCTTCTTTTGTTCTAGCAATTCACAATAACTATAAGCTAAGAGATTAACAGGTCGTTGAGGATTAAAATTAACACAATGGACTAGACGTTCACAAGTCTTCATCAGAAAAGAACTAAATTCACCGGGATCGATTCCATAGTTGCGCCAACCACCAACGCCATCAGCAACACCTGCAATTTATATTTATGATTTCAATAACGCATAAATAAAAATGCACATATGTATATTTAAATTAATAATAATTATAATAAACTTATTTAAAATGTAAAAACTATGGCGTTTCACTGTATTAGATTATTTTTAAAAAATGTAGGTGTTTTCGATTAAAATTTGATCTGGCGATCTCATTAAAACATTATAATCAATACTCTTATCGAGTCAACAGCTCAATGATGTGACGCAAATGCAAATTGTACATATGGTATAAATGTATTTGTTGTTTATTAATCCTACTTACGGATCAAGGTAAATCTTTATTGAATTTTGGCAATTCTATTAAGGCATTGCACCAGTAGAGAAGTAAATTTTAATAAAAGTTTACTGCGCAATATTTCTTATAATATATCAGAAAGCACCTCCAATTGAAACAAAATTATTGGTGAAATTTATGGCAAACAAAGCTGTTATTTTAAAACGAAATAATCAGAATCGCAAAAACAAGTAGAGCACGAGGTTTTGTAGCATTATTTCTGTGCGAATCAACACATACACATGTCAGTTTATGACGTAGTCACAAGTTAGGTCTGAGCTCAGTTTAATTGGAGGCAGACAGATAACAGACAGAAAACATTTGTTTGAATGTCGGTGTTTTATTTACTCAACATAACAGGTACAAAGTACACTATTGTTGTCGGAATTTAATACCCATATTTCAAAAAAAAAAAAGGAGGAAAAAATGTCTAACCCTTTTTTCCAAGATATAAAATTAAATCAAAATAAATCATAAAGCTTTATTAATGAGCAATAGTATATTATGTGGAAGTATAGTTTATTACGACTAAATATATTTTATTTTATAATCTGTAAATAAAACATTTATGTAATCAAAATATGTAAACACTAATCTCACCGAGAACATCTGCATTAGTGGTCGACGTCTTAAACCAAGAATCCTCGCCGTACTTGCCAGGCTTATATTTGGAGGTGAGGAAGTCTTTGGGAAAGCCACACACTACAGAAACAAAGTGCGGGCGTTGTTTCGAAGCACTGTTAACATTTGCTGTTGCATTGCTGGCCGTCTCCAGCAACGTAGAAAATCCACTTCGCAATGCTCGCGAAATGACACGGGTCGTCCAACTTAATGAATGCATCAAAAATTTCTGCTTCCTTTTTGTCGACGAGTATCGTAAGAAATGAGTTGGAAACTATATACCAACTCAATTTTCACGACGAATTTCAATCCAATTTTTTTTCGAATTTGCTTTGATACTATGTATGTATGTATATGTATAGATTAAACTTAATTTTTTTACAATATTGTCAATATATATAAAACACAAGGGATCGACGGCATGTACAGAGCCTGCATAATCATTTCGTTTTCGATCAATTCGTTGAATATTACAATGTTAATTGTGTGGAGGATACGAAAAAAGAACCAAACTCTTCTCAAGTTCACGTTACCGTTTATGTAATATCTTCATAAAATCGTCATTAACTATACATATCTAATAAGCACATAACAATTAATAATACTTTAATATTTCATTGCATATAAATAGATTTCACTTCAAATCGTCCCGATACACAAGGATACAATTGAAAAAGGATTTTATTTTAATTACGCGTGATATAAAATCGACAAATTCGACAACTTTACCCAAAAAAATCCACCCAAAACGAATTAAAATAGACTGGAAAGTATAACAGGGTTGCACGCGGTTATATCAAAACATGTGACACATCTGGAAGCATATGTAACACTATTGTAATAGAATATTGATATAAAAATGGATAAATAGAAAGCATTACGTTCTAAAAAAGTCAAAAAACTAATAAAAAAGGAGCTAAAGGATTTTTCTTAATAAAATATTTCTTTATCATAACATATCTAATATAAAATAAAGAAAATTTATAATTATCTTGTATAATATTTTTTGTTGGCATCCCAGGTGAAATTCGTCGGTAAGTAGGTTCAATGACAACACCAACGTACAAGTCAAAGCAGTGATATGAAAGCTGTCAGACGCTATCAAAGTATTTAGTGGAGTTCACTCTGTGTCAAGAGTAGAAAATTTACATTAATTCCGCCAAAAATAACAAGAAAATAGTTATTATTATCCAAGTGTGAATATTATTTACAATTATAACAGACTGCAAAAATATGAGCAGCAATAGTGGCAACATTACGAATGGTGGTGTTGCCCCACCTCAGGAGAAACGTGATTTACTTGCTCTTCTAAAGTTAATAAAGAAATACAATCTCAAGCAAACTGAGGAGCTCCTATGCCGCGAAGCTAATATCACAAACAAGGAGCTTGAGGAGGTGAATGATATTGAAATAAATACATTATTAACATCAGCTCTAGGTGAGGGACAAGATCACCAAAATGGGTTGGCGGTTGGAGGCACCGGTGGTTCGGGCAATGACCCGGAAATATATGAAGCGGCATATGCTGATCTCCGCAACTTTGTTGAAGAGTCCCTAGATATATATAAACACGAGTTATCCATGGTATTGTATCCTATAGTCGTTCAAATATATTTTAAACTGATTATTGGCGGATTCTCGGAGCCAGCTAGAAAATTTGTCGAAAAATATGGACCGGACTTGGATCATTATTATCGGGATGATTTACAAAATCTGCTCATGATTACAAAACGATCTGATTTGGAAAACAATGATTTTGTTTCCGCTATGGAACAAGACAAATTCGTTATTCGCATGTCGCGCGATTCTCACTCCTTGTTTAAACGACATATACAAGATCGTAAACAAGAGGTGATAGCAGATATAGTTGCTAAATATTTGCATTTTGACACGTATGAGGGAACTGCCCGGAGTAAAGCTCAATGCGACGTAAGCTCTGGTTCTCTGATAGGTGAGGCAAAGCGGCAGGATAATAAAATTCGCGTTTACTATGGTCTTTTAAAAGAAGTCGATTATCAAACGCTAACTACTCCTGCACCTGCACTGGTGGAGGAGGAAGACGATAATGATCCAGATGCCCCAGATAAGCCAAAAAAGAAAAAACCTAAGAAAGATCCGCTGTTTTCAAAAAAGTCAAAATCAGACCCTAATGCACCTGCCAGTGATCGTATACCTCTTCCCGAAATGAAAGACGCTGATAAAATGGAAAAGGTGAAAGCTTTAAGAGAATCTTCTAAACGCGTACCATTGAATAAGGAATCTCTACCGTCAGTATGTTTCTATACAATACTGAATTCACACAATACCGTTACTTGCGCTGAAATTTCGGAAGACTCTACGATGATGGCAGTTGGTTTTACCGATTCCAGCATTAAAGTATGGTCACTTACTCCAGCAAAATTGCGAGAAATGAAAAGTGCTGAATTACTTAAAGACATCGACAAAGATGCCGAGGATATTAACACTCGCATGATGGATGATCGTACAGGAGAATCTTCACGAACGTTCTATGGACACAGTGGTCCCGTCTACCGTTGTGCTTTTGCTCCAGAAAAAAATCTTTTGCTTTCCTGTTCCGAAGATACAACCATACGATTATGGTCGTTTCACACGTGGACATGTATAGTAGTATACAAAGGTCATCTGTTTCCAGTATGGGATGTTCGCTTCTCTCCACATGGTTATTATTTTGCTTCATGTTCATATGATAAAACCGCACGCCTTTGGACGACGGACTCAAATCAACCATTACGTATATTTTGTGGTCATTTGTCTGACGTTGATTGTGTTCAATTTCATCCGAATTCTAATTACATTGCCAGCGGGTCGAGCGACCGAACCGTGAGATTATGGGATGTGTTGAACGGACAACTGGTGCGTCAAATGTGCGGACATAAGGGACCCATATATTCCTTGGCATTCTCGACATGCGGTAGATATTTAGCATCTGGCTCCTCGGATCACACAGTACTTGTATGGGATCTATCACATGGGCAACTTGTTGCGTCATTGTTGCGACATACAGGATCTATACATACAATGTCATTCAGCCGAGATGGAAACATTCTTGCTGTCGGCGGGTTAGATTGCGTACTGACCCTGTGGGATTTCTCAAAATTAACTGAGGAGTATTTATCACAGAGCGGCGGATCCTCACACAATCCTGATCTTAACGACAGCGAAACATATTTACTGCGATCTTATCCCACAAAATCCACACCCTTTCTGGCATTACATTTTACTCGTCGCAATTTGCTATTAGCAGTAGGAATGTTCAAGTCAACCTAAAAGCAGCAGCAAAATGCTATTTTAGTTTAAATAAAAATAGTTTAAGGTATTTAAAACATTATGTAATTGTAATTAATATCTTAAGTATTCTTTTAAACGTTAATAAAGTGTAAAGAATTTTTTGACAAAAAATTCTAGTTTGTGTATTCCATTTGTACGCATTCTTCGGCCGCAACATGAGTAGGAGAAGAACCATCCATCATATGGTCATTAGATTCACTATCTAGTGAGGGTTCATTGCTGAACATTTCTGTGGGCACAGTGGCTGGTGCACGATCTTGTACTAGCTCTATGACATGTTGTCGAGACTGTAAGTGTCGTTCCACTTCTGCCGCGGACATTTGCATTTGCTGTGTTTGTTCCAAATCAGTGTTTGGATGGTGTTGGTTAACAACGTCAACCGATTGCGGTTTAGGTGTTTGAGAATTTTCACTCGGTTGAACTTGTGGCACTTTCTTTTTGCGTCCGCGGGTGGAACCAGTACTTACACCACCGCCGGGATTAGTTACTGTGTTTTGTTCAAGTTTACGCCTTAGAATACAATAATTCGTTAGACATACATATCTATGGTATATGCTATTAATTTTTTTTATTTTAATCTTACTTTTTTGCTTCCTTGGTAGCTTCGTCTTCCGACGATTCAGTCTCGTCACTTTCCGAGGACGTGTTTTCGGGTTTCTCATACTGTAATAAACGATCTAACAAAAATGCTCGATCACGGGACACTTTCAAAAGGCGCCGTTGATTAGAACGCAGAGCATCTTGAAAGAATTCATTTTCCTGCAGAATGTAAACTTTTAAAATTTGTACTTTTATATGCTTGTGTAGTTATACTAACATAAATTAGAAACTTAAGCTTGCGTTTAAGATACCGGTACTGCGACTTATAATCCACGGCATTGGGTGCACCGGAACTATTTCCTCCGCCATTACCACTACCAATACCTATACCAGACTGTGTTTGCTGTTGCTCTTGACTGTCATCATCTGAACCAGAATCATCGTCCACATTGGGATCGGTCTCGTCGGTTTGAGCAGCTTGCTGATTCGCCATAGAGCGGCAGTACCAACCCGAAAGCATATCCTTTAGAAACGATTAGTCAGATTATTTGATATGTGAAATTAAAAAACAAAAAATTCGCTTCTATATATACATATATGTACATAACCTTAGCAATCACTTGTTTCACATTGCAGATCAACGAATACGCAAATTTATCATATTTTGTTAAAAATTAATAAGCTCAATTTTTTACTTGCCAAAGAACTGTCCGAACTGTGGGATATTAAATATAGAAATAAATATAAAAATGATAGACACAAAATTAAAACACAAAACTATACAGATGGAATGTTTTTGTTGATACTTGCATTTGACTACCTTATCGACAATCTACGCCTTATCTCCTGTTTGCACTCAACAAAGCAGCGCGTGGGCAATATTAAAAACTAGTTACCAGTTGACAACTCAGGGATATGAAACTAAAAATAATTATTAACTAAATTTTAAAATGGAATACTTGGAGTAAGATTCATTCAACTTTTTAACTTACCTCTTTTAATTTAATAAAATATAAACCCGATATAGATGACGAATTTTATTAGCGAACCGGATAATTTTTTAAGTAGTAATTCCAATATCTTCTAGGCTTGGCTCCCAAATAGAAACACTTTATTATACAAGGTACATAACGAATTTTATTAGCGAACTAGATCTTTTTTTAGTCGTAATTTTAATATGATTTTAGTTTTCGCTTCCAAATAAAAACACTTTATTATAGCAAATGGTATTTTTATTTCATTTACATTTAAAGGTAACAAAAAAAGCAATTAGAATGTATTAAGTTTGTATAAAATCAATTCAATGTTAATATATACTTCGTTTATTCATTTGGATTTACATACATATATTCCTTAAATCTTCGATTCGATATACATATAGCGATATTTGCATTTACATTCTACATGGAATTACGTATCTAGCAATCAAAAAAAAAAAAAAAAAGCTCTTCATTGGATTCTTTCAAAAGAACGTCTACTAATATTTAAAAGAAAGAAAAAATTCAAATTAAAGCCGAAACTTATTCGTCAGTAACTAATCTCTTACAAATAGTATAATTTTTTCTCAAGCGCATTCTGAGGAGGCTGGTAAAGGCTAGTAGCCACTAAAGTTGCAAGTTTCTTGGCATATTGGCATACAGCTGGAACACGCGTGGTTCCTGACCAATTGTAATACAAATGTGTCATTTTATATGTCAAAAGTTGCATTTGATCTGGTGTAAGTCGTATATTGCTGTAAACAATATTATAGCTTGTAGGAGACACTGTACCTTGGCGTACTGATTGCGATACCAGGAAGAAGTCATATCGTTCCGGTAATGTTACTACATCGTCAACTATCGTACCTGGGGTGGGATTTTGACCACGATTCATAAAAAATCGTGTGTTAATTGATTTTGATACAACAACATAGGCAAACATTGGAGGTTTTTCTGAACCAACGCGCTTATACTCCTGTTCGAGCTTCTCTACAACATCTTTAACTTCATGCTCATAAACTTGTCGCAGTGAACCTTCTCCCACGCCATCTCTATAGAATAGAATCCGTGTTGGCAATTTATTTTCATGTTCTCTGCGGTACTGTCGCAATGCTTTAGTCATCATTGGCCAGAGGCTGTTTGCCAAAACATCGTGCGAACTGCATTCTGCAACCGTGCTGTAAAAAGTAGCATTTGTTTTCATATCCATTGATGCTACTAAGGCTCCGAAAGCTTTTGAGCGATCTCGTGTACTTTTAGCTACATCGTAGCCAATTGTCATTAAACCAGATAGTGGAAGGTCTATCATCCATGGTGTATAGCCCAACTTACAATTGATTTGTATGGCGACTTTTGTGGCTATGCTCATTAGACCACGCTGATTACCGGCCGATTTTTGGGTTATTACTTGAGTTGGAATCGCACGCTCCAAGCATCCTTTCTTTTTAATTGAGGCATAACGCTCAGCATTATTATTTGGTACCAAACATAGGATGAGTTGCGGATCTTGACGACTGCAGTCCTCCATTGCTTGAATATAAGAATGATTCCTGTCGTCGTATAACATAACTTCTCGTGGCCTACTGATTCTCATCTGCATACCACTTGCCGCTCGTATTAAAGATTCAACGAAATTCCTTAATTCTCTGGAGTTTCGGTTTGTAGCTATAACAGACCAACGTTCTAGTCCTCGAGATGGAGTGGTAAATAAACCATTTTCTCGAAAATAACGTGTCCAATCGGCTTGAACTCCGGCCGATTCCTTTCTGTGTTCACTAAATACAATGCGTTGCGGTTCCAGCACGCGTCCATTTAGTTCAACCAAATGACGATCTAAGGCCATATTCCAATCGTTTAATACTTGAACACTGGCTTCTGTCTGTTGAAGTCTTTGATTAAATATTCGCAAGCGTTCTATACGTCGATCAGGATTCATACGCGTATGATCGGCCATAGCTCTCATAAGTTGAAAATTGTTGCGCATAGTATCCGTTAGACCAGTAGGTCTGCATAATTCGGGAATCAATATTATTATATCACTGCTTCCTCCCCTCAATGCTCTATCTTTTGCCTTTGAAATGAGTAGCGGTTGCTTTTGATCACGAATACGAATATGATATTTTTGGTAATAATAGTCAATGAATGATACTTCATTCTCTTTACATTTAAATGTTTTTGTTGGATTTTTGCTGAAATCAACATCGTTAATCCGATAAGTTTTATTATTATAATCAGTGAGAACTGTAAGTCCCAAAACGTTACGACGAAATTCTTCTTCGTAATCTCTAGCGGTTTCTGTACACCTTTTTAAAATGTCATAAACAGTTTCCGTTCGCATAACTTTATGAGCGATTTCCGCGCAAAGTAATATGTCTCTCTCATGTTGGCGAATTGATGTTTGATAACCTGGCCAGAGTTGCAAACGGTATTCTCGCAAATCAATTTTTGCCAGCGCATCATAAAAATTTCTGCCGACTAACTGCAACTTGAGACCCTCCATGGAACGACGCAAAATTAAATTCAAAATCTGCAAAGACTGCCACTCTGTCATGGAAATGACCCCAACATATTTGATAACAATAGTGTAGCTGTCACCAAACTTGGATACAGCTCGAATTACAGTTCTTTCTTCTGACAATTTACAAGATGTAAATAACTTTGTACCATCATACAAATATCCGCCTAAAGTTTCACGATGTTCTGAAAGCATTCCACCCCGAACACGCCGTAATTCAATATGCGGTGAAAAATCAACGTGATATTGAAATATGCGCCATGTTGGTTTTGTCAACAAACGATAGTAATTAGCTTGTAATGTAATTGGTGTACCTACTTTACCCATTTTTGTTTGGATATCAGAAGGACGCGTATGGACAATTTCATAACGCTCCCGTTTTGACGCGTTATCACCGATATCTGTACTGTCTCCTCCACCGCTTCTTGCGGCAGACGATGTTGATGGCTGTTCATGTTGTTCCTTGCGTGAATTTTCATTACGAGATGAAGTCGAACTTCTATCTGGTGAAATTGGTTCTTTTTTATATACTTTGGATGGACGCGGTTCATCCGATGCTTCGCGTTCTCTGCGCCTTCGATGAGAATCGCCTCCTCCAACGCTGCTGGGTAAAGTTTCTTGAGGTGAACGTGACCTAGAGCCCTGTTGTTCTCGCGATGGACGTCGGCGACCACGATTCTGATCCTCAGACATATTTGATGTCACTAACACACAAAAAGTGCTATTTATTTAAATTATTATACTGTAATGACGCGAAGCCAAACTTTTGTTAACACAATTTTATGTGGATTTTGTGTATTGTATGTGGATAGAAGATTAATCTTGCGGTCCGCAAGCTATAATACAAACGAGTAGTGAAACTTGAGTTGCCATATTACATCATAAACTTTAAAATACAAAATTAGCATATTTTTTATATTAGAAGCAGAGAACGTAGATTAGTTCTCTGCAGCGAACATTTGTAATATTTAAGTCGGGGATTTTACCTCCCAAGCAGGAAAAACAAATAACACTTGTATAAGCCTACACTGATGATATACAATGAGTCGATCGTTGTGCGTTAATTTAAAATATATTATTTTTGAGTTAAAGTTTCAAGAGGAGTTCGGAGATCTGAAAATATCCGTAAGTCGTATTCAAAGAAACGAAAAAATATTTTTAAATCAAAAACTGCGGAACGTGATGAAAGTGTTCGGAGTACATCGTCTAAAAAACAAACAAAATACTGAAAACGATGTACCCTAAAGTTGCACAACTGAATTTCGAATAATTTATTTTATTGCGGTATTCACTGTCATTTCTGCCAGATATAAAATTTCTACTCTTGTGAAATGTAAGAAATGTGATGGAAACATTGAATTTTTAACAGCTAGTACACGTGGGCTGGGATTTCAAATTCTAGTTTCATGTAATAACTGTGACAATGAATAGATTCCTTCCTGCTCTTTTATTGAACACTCTCTTGAAATAAATAGACGCTTTATTTTTGTGATAAGAATACTAGGGATAGGAAGCTAGGCATACAATATTATTGAAACTTCGATCAGGCCCAGGATTATCTATTTATAAAACTAATTTTTTCCATCCGATTGATTTTAGATGAATCTCCAAGGACTTATGATTGTCACCGCAAGGACCTTTTTTTGGAACTGGGTCAACACAGGCAGCTATACCTTTGGAAATTAATATATTTTTTTTTGGAAATTTTCGTGACTTCAAATTAAAACATTGTATAATAATAACCTAACCCCTCCTTAAATAGTGAAAAAACAACTTTAATTCAATATTTAACTTTGGTTCAATTCTTTTTATTCACACAATAACAAGAGATCTTGATAACTTCTTCTATCCGTATATACCCATTATAACCCCAAATGCGGTTGATGCTATTCTAAATCCCAGCCGGTTGTGTTTGTTGTATCGGAAATTAGCTTTTTTGGCAAAACTTATTACAAAATATAAAGTTCTGTAAATATTTAATAGTTCTTCATAAGTATACCCTAAACAGGGCATGATAAATTTGGCTCGAAGTTTGTAACACATCAAAGGGAATGCCGATACCCTATAAAATATTTACATAGATATATAAATGATCAGCGTTATGAGCACACACTCTTCTCCCAACTGTTCATTTGTCGGAAAAACCGATATCGAACTACTATAGCATATAGATGCCATTCAAACTGAGCGAACAAAATCAAGAAAAAGATCTTCTATACTCTTTTAACGTATGTATATTAATTTTTGTCATATGTATTTTCATGAATCCACTGGTCTATACAGTTCTTCAGTGCAGTGTCATTTATAAGCTCTTCTCTCTTTCCATTGCCACCTTTTCTAACGAAACCAGCTTCACCCTTAAGCAAAAGTCCAACATTCGCTATTTCACTTCCATTTACTGATGGATTCTCCCGGAAATTTTTAATATCCAAATGTTGTGTTAAGTTTTTCAAACCCTCCGCACTGATTGTGCAATTTAAAAATGCTGCCAGTTTCAATACGACACCTCTCAAATCGGAAACCATATCTTCATAGTTGAGGATGAGTATATTTGGCAAATGACGATGTTCAAACGCTTCACTTATGTGACTGTAGTATGGTAGCCAAGGGTCTAAGATTTAAAATGTATATATTATAAGTACATACTTACATGAAATAGAAGAATTTTAACCAAATTAAAAATCTTACTCAATCCCCGTGAAAAGTAATCCCAATATCGGTGGAAATCACCAGTGTAGCCTTGGGTTCGGTACAACCGATTCAAATGGTAATAGGAAACAGCCACATCTTTGGGATTACGCAATACATATATTACCTGTGTATAATTGTTATATAATTAAATATAACCGAAATAAGTTTAATTGCTTAATTTTTGAATACCTTGCACTTATTCTGCATAACACTTGGTGGCAGCAAAGAAAATGGAAAATGTGTTTTTATAAAACGTCTCTTATTACATGGCCATTCGTCTAGAGTCTTGTATCCTGATCTGGAAAAATGTTCAATGAATTCCAGCTTTTTATTGTCCCCAAAATGTTTAGCTAACAACTCAGCCTTGACTTCAGGATGAACGAATAATGAAAACCTATGCAAATATGTAAGAGCTTAAGCGATATATGTGCATATATACGTTAGTATTATGTGTGTATAACGGCATAAAATAATTACTCAAAAAATGGAAAACGTTCTGTGAGGGATTCCTGTTTGGCTGCATCAAAATCTAAATCATGTGCCAGTAGCCAAACTAACTCCTGAGTCCATGTGGTTCCAGACCGTGGAACTGTTGCTACCCAAATATCATCTGGACGTGCACAAAAATTATAAAAATTGTCTGCTTCAAACTTGTATTTATGAGGAAAGAAATATTTTTCAGGACCCACTTGCACAAATCCTGTGCGCTCACCTAACAAAACACAAATATTACTTAAAATCTGGAAGTTAACGACAAGCATGTACCTTTGAAATACTGTAGCAGCTCAGTGTTTATCTTGTAATCAACGTCAACGATTTCATACGGAAAAGTGTACATTATTTTCGATTGTCTTAACCGATTCATCGCTAGTGGTAAACTAAAAACTATTTAAAATAATTTGGTTGAAGGTACTTTAGTTTGGGACGATGGTGGAGAAAGTTTGCTGAATGTGCATATTTAAAAGTCATTAAAAATAAACAAGTTACTATAAACAAATTTAATTGTTTAATTGGCTTTTCTTAATTGCAGCTCATTTTATTATTGTTGTTTTCTATAATAAATGCAAGTGCTTAGTGTAACAACTGGTTTTTTTCAATTACAAAATAAGAGTGATATTAAACTTAGGTTATGTAGTGGAGAAATTTAGATAAATTTATTTTCTTGACATAGAGCAGCGATTAACGAACTGTGAAGTATATAGTCTTTGTATAATTAACATGTGTTTGTTTATAATTAAAAAAGTTATTGGAAACCATGGTGTAAATGGTAAACACGACGATTTCAGATTCCGAGTAACAAATAACAGATACATATATCACTAACGCAAATAGTCCATCAAAAATGGTTTATCGTCCGGTGCATACGGTGCTAAGGGCACATCATAAGGTAGTGGGAATGGCGGTATACCATCACGCACATGTCCTAACGGAAACGTCTCCTCTCCGGTCTGAAAGAAGGCAACTTGGTGAGTCTACGACACACATAATTACAAAATCTTAGAAATATACCACAAATCTCGGTAAGAAGAGCACACCAGCTTCAAAGTTCAAAATTCTTAAGCTCGATGCTATATTAACCTTTTTATTGAAAGCTCCCCATGCTGCCTTAGATAAGTTTGCGGAGGTTAACATAAACCAGTAGATAGACTGGTCCTCCAATTTCATGCGTGTATAAGTTTTGATGTGCGGCATAGCTTGCGAACGAAAACGCTGTTTCGAACTCCATTGGAATAGATGCCCACGCAGCCAAGACTGTTTAGCGTTAGTATTTGCGCCGTATGGTAAACAACCACCACCTAGTAACCCATCATGACTGTTGTTAACGTTAGCGAAGCTGGGATATATCATTTTGAAAATTGGAAATTGTGTAACCCCTTGTGGTCCGGAATGTTTTCGCAGGCTGTTAAGAAAATCATGTTGTATCCATGTTTGTATGTTTGGACCAAGAGATCCAATGCTAGAGCTTTGACAAATTACGGGCGTTCTGGCATCAACAGTAGTGCAATGCTTTTTAAGCAACTCTGCGACACGTGGATGTCCCCAAGGATAACCACGTGGACCTTCGCGAAAGCCACCAGGAGTGGAACCGATGAAAAAAACACTTAACAAAAAAATTATAAAATATTTACAATTACAGAAGTATAGTTTTTTTGTTATCGACTCACTTTATGGAACTAAAATCCGTTTTGCGTATTCGTGCTATCCAAGGCTGCAACTTTGCTAATTTATATTCTACTAAATACAACATAAAGTCCTGTCGGAAGTTTGTGGGACTCTCCCCGGCCGTGGTGTCTGCATCAGAAGCTAACGGAGGTAGTTTCGGACTTATCCAAAGACCTTGGGTGCGATTGTGCCAATCGTCTTCATATAAATTTGCAGTTGAAATTACCACACGCATACTACCATCCGTATAGCCTAGAAGCATTACTTTGGCGTGAGATGTAGCGAATGCTGTAGGCATGTTAATTTTAACTGCCGTGACTTCCGGATGTGTTTTAGATATATTGGCCAACTCCGGTGTTTCATCGCCATAAAGAACAAGTAACGGAGTGCCCCTGTAAAATGTTTGGCCATAAAAAGTTAATTATCAAAACTATCAACTAATTACTATTTTTCTTAACTATAGGAATATAGTATATACAATAGTTTCCTTACATTATACCAGCGAAATAATAGTGCCCAAGTAACCAGCCGATATCCACCATAAAATTAATTTGCACGGATGATTCAATCTCACCCAGGCTCTCATCAAGGATTTCTGTGTTGAATATAAGAAAAAAAAAAATAGATATTATATTGTACAATACATGTATTAAGCATCATGCCAAAACACTTTGGATACAACCTAGTAAAGTTATTGTTAATGGCTCATGATGAGTGAGTTTGGAATCCGTAATAGCAGTAAGAAAAAAATTGTAAGGTGCAGCGCGCTCAAGTTTTTCGGCGGCATGGCCCTTTTCCAAAACTACTGGTATGTAGTCCTTGACGTTTTTGGTTATTTTGACCTTTTTAGATAGTTCGGAATTATCCATAGAAGAGGAGTTTACGTTGACAGTGGATGCGGCGTTAATATTAGAACTGTCAGCAGCGGGCGACTTACTTCGTTTAATAGATTCATGCTAAAAGAAGGAATATTACTATACTAAAATGTATGAGCTAAAATAGTTCTTACTTTTGTTGTACCGGTATCTAATCGTTGACCACTGCTGTTCATATCACTTTCTTCTGTTTTTGACGTAGTTTTGCTACTTTCCGAACTACTAGAACCTGCCTTTGGAAACAACTTTTCGAGCAGTTTCAATTGAGTTTCTATTAATTCGGCGCTCATAAAAAGTTCATCAGGAATTACATACTTATTCGTATTAGGGTCCAATCCTTTTGCGTAAATCTCGTCCACTGTGATGTTTTGGAATATACTTTACATACATGTTTTACTTTGTTAGAAATATTACATACAATGAGGATGTGAAAATTCGCCAAAATGTATGGGATTCTTCCTGTAGCACTGCTCGCCATATGGGCATTTTTTCAGCTTCGTAGTCATTGAGAATATTAAATTTAAACAGGCAATAAAATAGTTTTGAAATTTGCAAATATTTGATACGAAAACTTTACAATAAACAATAGCTTACAAACTAACAGTGATGCCAACCAGAGATAAAGAGATGCCCAAATCATCTCTCACTGAAAATGAGAGCACAATTGCTAAACGTCAAAACCTCCTGAACTTAGTCTGATGCCAACATTGTTTACACAAAGACTCTTTTGTAACCCAAGCCGGTGTTTTGTGGGCGAGGGGACAATGAGGAAAGACGAAAAGACCGTGACTATCACGTTCTGCGTGATTTTTAGGCAACACTTGCAACAGCATCACGTTCTACTGTCATTTTTTGCACGCAATTTATGCAAATAATCGGCAACATTAAATTTTTGTCTGCACATCAGCAGAATATCAGCATATATGCAACACAGTAGTTATACTGCTGCAATTATTACGTAGCTCGAACGCACCCATATTTTCTTAAAATTGGTTTTGACATTTGCTAAGAGCAAGAACTTACCGATCCAAAAAGGGGGTAGATCGCCGAAATAACAGCCCTTGGCCGGATAAAATGCGGGTCAATTCCGGTAACGTAGAACCGGCTATTGTGGGAATTGAATGACGAGCAATGACGAATCCGCCTTACAGATTGTATTTCATATGTATCACTCTGTATTTTGATTTTATTACCTTCCATAATTTTAACAACAACGCAAATATATTTGTCAGAGAATAAATGCAGTTGCATTTCATATTTTCCACAAATTTAAGATAATGTGAATTTTTGACCTTTGGTTGCAGCTACAATTGTGAAATTTGTGAGTAAATTAAATTGCGCTGAATTGTTGATTCAAGATATAGTTGCTTATACTTTCTTAAAAATAATGGAATTACATATGTATGTAGCAGTAACCTAGGTGTTCTTTGTGCAATCATCTAAGAAAATATTAGAACTACTCCTCGGTAAATTTTAAAAATCGACGCTGCTAATAAAATTAGTAGTAGATTTTAATTAGCCAAAATGTAATTGCAAAATGTATGTAAATATATATTTTTAATGCAAGGCTTTTTTGTGGCTGCCACATATCCTACTATATTACCTACGACAGTCAAATAAATAGAAGTTGTAGGGGGAAACCCGTCAGTTGTTGCATTTTATTATGATGTGTCACTGTAGTTTTGTTTCTGTTTTCTCCTCTTAAATTAGAAAATTATAAGAAGAAAAACAAAAAAATTAAAAACTAAAAAATTGATTATTCATGGAAAATAGCTGCACCATATAACACATCTCCGAAGACGATCTAAACGTGGAACTGTCGTAAGAAGAGTCAAGCTTGTGTTGAAGTTGGAAACTTTGTCACTATAGCAGTATTGACACCCGAACAAAATGCCTATTCTATACAGCGTAATATCTCGGGGCAGCACAGTGCTAGCCAAATATGCGGAGTGTGTGGGAAACTTTGCCGAGGTCACCGAACAGATAATCTCTAAAATCGCAACGGAGAATCACAAGTTGACATATTCGCATGGCGAATATTTAATACATTATATATGTGAAAATCGCATAATCTATATGTGCATCACAGACAACGTAAGTACAACATATTTTCTTACAAAATGTTTATTAAAAACTTAATCTGTTTTTAGGAATTTGATCGTACACGAGCCTTTTTATTTCTGGCTGACATTAAACAGAAGTTTATACATACTTATGGACTACAAGTGGCGACAGCTATTGCCTATGCAATGAATACGGAGTTTTCGAAGGTACTGGCAGAACAAATGACACATTTCAGTCAATCGCGGGAGGTGGATATGATTTCGCGAGTCCATGGTCAAATCGACGAATTAAAAGACATAATGGTGAAAAATATAGGTATATGAACATACATGATACATTTGTTTAGAACAAAATATAGAATTAGTTCTAATATGTAACACGTTTCCTACTTATAGATAGTCTTCGTGATCGAGGTGAAAGATTGGAATTGCTTGTGAATAAAACAGAAAATCTTAGTAATAATGTGAGTAAAAATAATATTGAATTTTAAAGAAGCGTCTTTATCACTCTTTATTTTATTTTTCAGTCTGTTGCATTCCGTAAAGCATCTCGTAATTTGGCACGACAAATGTTCTGGAAAAAGGTTCGCATCTATGTAGTGGTAGTGTTAATAATAATATTTGTAATCTATGTGATTATAAGTATGTTCTGCGGTGGTCTGGCATGGCAGAGTTGTATTGCAAACTGAAAAGTCTCCAAAACGTTTTCCATGCAAATTTATTCTAAACACCATACGTATTTACATTTTCAATATCACATATTTATATTAAATTAAAATCTTTGTTTTTACTTTATATAATTTTTTCTATCTTTGTTTATGTATGTGTATGCATACGAATATGTATTTAATATTCCGAACAATAATTATTTTTGTTATACGTATGAGCCAATGCGCAAAGCTTTGTAGATGGGTCATTGGCTAAGTTCAGCATAAGAAAATAATCACATGTCTTGATTTAAAATTCACATGAAATAAAATAATATATATATTTTTTGTACATACACATGTAAAAGAGTATGTATGTGCTAATAAAAAGTTATAATACAATATTAAATAAAGCAGAGCTATAAATTTAAATATAAAAGTACGAAAGTAATCGCTGGAATTCGACATTTTATTAAATATGTATTTACATTTGTTGTAAAAGCAAATGAAATCATGATACCAAATTAAACTGTTTAACGAGTTATAAGATATATATTAAATATGTGTGTAAAAGACAATATGAAAGATAAATATCATCTCATTTTTGTACGCCAACGTAAATTACATCACCACGTTTTATTTTCCCTGCCTGACGTAGCCCCAGATGTATGCCCAACACGGGACTTGGATTATTCTCAAAGCAGCGATATCTAAATTCAGGAATTGCAAACGAATACAAATATTTGAACTTAATAAATAGGGAAAATAATTCTAGAATGTCGCTTACGTTTTTAGCGTTTTCAAAGGATTATTCTCCGGATCGCGCTCACCAGTCTCCGGATTGATATTGGGTAAAATGCAGCGACGGCATGGCGCCACCTTGCGAAACACCGCTTCACTGCCAATTTTAACCCAGTCGTAAGAATCCTCAGTGTATGGCTCGTTCTTATCCATTTTTAAATAAAAACCACCACGGAACTGAATTGGTTTTATGGGTCGGGGGAGTCGCTTATTAAGATCATCAACAGAAGATAAATTCATCATCATGTAGCTGGTAGCATCAGCAAAGGCACCCTGAAAATGTTAATCTTTGCCTTTTATCAACATTATTTTTAATGTCTGATAAGAAATTGAGACACTCATTAAGTGATAAGATAATTTTCAGTTTATGCCGTAAAAACTCTCGTTTGCAAAAATAATGCAAATATAAAAATGTATGCATCGAGAGGATAGCTATAAAAGTTTGCCTACCGTGTCGGAGTTTTTGAGGTGCGGTTCTTTGGCCAATTCCTTGTCGATTGGCTTCATAGGCTTCGGATATGGGTGGTACACAAGTTTCAGTCCACTCTCCTGACCAAGTATAAATTGTGAAAACCATTTGTCATACTTTTCACCACACAGCATCGCGTCCACTTTGGCACGAAACACGGCTGTATGTATGTCTCTGCCCGGTCCTTCCTCAATCAGTTTCTTGAAATCCAACTCCAAAGTCTCCATGCCTGGAGCATTGATTTCAAGCTTTGTGGGTGTGACCAGTCTGGAGGCTATCAGCACCATCTTGGGATAGCCACGTGCAGTTATCATTACGTCGTCTTTGTCCACCAGCATCAAAGCACGATCGCGACAACCTTCATAGCGTAGACCGAGTACCTCACATTCCATTTCAGTGCCCTCTGGGAATTTAAGTGGCGCACAAGATTTGATTGGGAAGAACTCGAGCATTTCCAATGTACCTACACGTTGCCATTGCTCCGGTGTGGCATTCTCTTTCCAATATTTATAATACAGATAGGAGACGCCTGACACCGCGGTCACCCCAACCCCTATACCGATACTCAAGAGCAGCTTAGAGGAGACGCCAGTGGTTGGATCTGTGTCGAGAAAATGTAAAATGAAGCAATGAGCGTAAATTTGGCTGAAATTTATATTTTTTTATTACTGGACATTTTGCGCAGTTTTTGTATGCACTTTTATGGCACTTGTTTATAATTTGCTGGAAACTTTTAAAATGTTTATTTAGTGCCGTTATGTGTAGGATGTACTTGTTAGAATTTATTCGATTATTTCTGAAGAGCAACTGAGAATCTCACATTCAATGCGCAGCTTTCATAGCTTTTGCCTATACGCTGAAGACAGATGGATTACTGTTCTCTCAGTGCTATTAAAATTAATGTATGCATGTATGTGTTTGTTATCAAATGTTATGCTTTCTCGCAAAGTAAAGAGCACAAGCAAAAGCGAATCGGCAAGGGGTTGTGGGAGTTTCAACGCCCCCTTTTAATAATACTTACTCTCTAAAAGACGATAATGTCCGGTGTGATTCCATCAGAAGGAAATTTTATTAGAGTATTTATCAGCTTTGGTTTGAATCTCAACCGGAAATGGAATACTTCAATAGCGTCTTAAAAGAAAATACAAAATATATTGTATTCCTTATCCGGCAAAATACCGCATATGTTCTTTTGTTGTAGGGGAAGAAAAGATTCCCCAAATAATTTTGAAGAATATTGCCGTATTAACAGTCCTTGACACGATATAGTTCCATTGTGTAGAAAACGGATCCCTTTGGTTGTTGTTGTTTATCTCTTAACGGTTTGAATGCATCCAGTTCAAACGGGCTTTCGGCAGTAACTTATTTTATTCGATTTTGTTTTGTCGAAATTTTGTTTGTAGTCATCCAACAGAGCATCCAAAGCATCACTATAGTTCTGCGATATATCAGATACAGAATTTGCTGAGTACAACGCTCGTGGTTAAGGTAACCATCAGAAAAGTACTACGCCCGACGTAGAAATCAATCTTAGAACATGTCTGGATTTAAGAGTGATATCCTTTTTACTCTCCCCGAATAGAAATGTTTTTGTCAATATAGTTATTGCCCTGTATAGGGAAAATTCACTCTCCAAAATGTATACAATACTTCTTAACCCTTGCGGGGTAATGTGTTTTTTGGCACCTTTAAGAGTGCTGTTGTACCCAACACTCCAGAAAAAGTATTAAAGTATCATGAAAACTGCAATAATCATAACATTACAATAGCAATAATAATTGAAAATTATATAGAGTGTGTATTTTTTCATAAGATATAAGAATTGTCAAAGTAGACGTAATGGTGGGTCACTGCTCCACTTTCGAACAATTCTTTGAATTGAGTTCAGCTTGTTTAGTTTGTATTCGCCTTCACATACCATCTCTTCCTGATCTAGAAAGGTGAGTTACTATGGACGAGGCATCGCTGACCCAAACTTACCTCTGAAGGGTTAAGCGCAAATAGGCTCTTATCAAAAACAATAAAAAAAAAGATTAAAGATATATAACGATTTTTTATTATTTAAACTTTGCGTTTTCTTTATTTTTACTCAGTTCGGGTTGGGTACAAGTAGTGACAGTGTGATTCGTGCTGGTCGACTGATTAAGTAAGTCATAAAAAGTACCAAATCGAACTCACTAAACATATAGATACATGTACTGTACTCTACATGCTCGTAAATGAAGTGACAATTCGTCTTCGTGTAGAAATGCGGTATTTGGAAGTTGTCGTTTGGTCTGGCCTTAGCATTGTTGTTGCTGTGGGTGGCATTACAATTTGGTTGGCATATCGCAAGAGAAACAGCAATCGTCGGCGACTACCCAGCGCCAATGAATGGCAACATTTGGGCACACTGAAAATAATAAATTTTTATCCTGTCAAGGGTGGTGCGCCCATACGACTGGAGCAAGTGGAATGCTCGGAGTTTGGTCTGCATTCGAGCGGCATCTGGGAGCGTTGCTTGATGGCATATGATGAGTGCGGCGCAGTGGTATATTCTGGCTCCTATCCACGCATGCTCAGTGTACATCCCGAGATTGTGAGTGAAATGGTATTGCGTTTGGAAGCACCGAATATGTCACCTATAATTATGGACTTGAGTGAGCTACTGACAGAACCCTATGCAGTTGTAGAAAAACGAGAAAACGGCAATGTCAACCGTTTGGTAGAATGTCGAGCCGAACATCATGTATGGCTCTCACGCGCAGTGCTCCAGCGTGAGCATGGTTTGCGGCTGTATGTGAAATTAAAACCATATCCGGGAGAGAAGTTGGTAAGTTGGAACAGTTAACAAATACGAAGTTTATTTTTACATTTTTCAAATACTTTTAGGATATTGCTCCAGTTATGGTAATGCATGATCGTTCCGTGCATGATCTAAATGAACGACTAAGCGGTAAAACGAAAGTGGACTGTCAACAGTTTCGTGGCAATATCGTAGTCGATAGCAATGCGAATATTCCACCATACAACGAAGATAACTGGCTCTGGTTGCGTATCGGCTCAGATGTTGAAAGCTCGGTAGTTATGCACTACAACTCGGACTGCCTGCGTTGTATTTTGGTAAATGTGAATGTGGAGAATTATACGAGAAACTCTGATTTCGAACCACTAAGAATGCTAAAGAAGTAAGTAATTGTATCCAGGAATTTGGAGTTCAACTATATGCGATTTATATGGTCTTTTGCAGATATCGACTGCGTCAAAATTCTAGAGAACCGACTATGGGTGTTTATTTTGATGTTTATAAATGTGGAATCCTTAAGATTGGGGAACAAATCTATGTCAATTATGCGTAAAAAAATTATGCGTTCAAAAAACTTATCTTATTAGGTAGGATTATAATGTGTGTGCTTTTTAATACATCAGAGAATATATTTTTGTAAAGGAGAGTAACAAAAAGCTTTAAAAAAGCTCTTTTCATTATATTAATAAATTTCTCAGCATGCCGGCTAATTCACTCTTTTTGAGTAATTTAAATTTTAAACTATATAAAATATATGTTAATACATAAATTGAAACATATTTTATATATACTATTTACACTTTTTAGCATAGAAAAAAATGTTAATTTTTTTAGCAAGATACCTCACTTATCTTCTACATATACTACTGCGTTCTTCTTGATACTTCCCACAGAGCGCAGGCCCAAGTGTATGCCAATGGCTGGGGTTGCATAGCCTTTGAACATGCGATATCTGGAAATACAAAAATAATGAGAATAAAAATGTCCCCTTAGAATACATCTTAAACTCACTTCTTAAGCGTATTCAACGGCTCACCATCGGGATCGCGTATTGCCGTAGTCACATTTATATTCGGGAAGATACAGCGGGTACATGGTGCTACCACACGAAAGATGACTTCATCGCCGATCTTCACCCACTGCCAATGATCTTCAGCGTAAGGCTCATCGGTATCCATTTTCAATTGGAAACTACCACGGAACTGCAACGGATCCACTGGCTTTGGTATGCGGGTATTAAGCTCCTTAATCGATGCCAAATTCATCATCATATAGCTGGTAGCATCGTTGAAGGTGCCCTTATAAATACAAGCGAATAATTTTAATTTCAAAGAGAAAACTTTAACTGATACTTACACGATCATCTTTCAAAATGAATGGCTGTCGCACCATGCGCGAATTGATGGCCTTCACGGGCCTCTCCAGCGGATAGTGTACCAAATGCATGCCACTATCCTTATCTAGCAGATATTTAGACAGCCACTTGTCATATATTTCACCGACCAAACGCACCTGCACCGGTGTGCTCCACACCATTGTTTTAATCTGCTCACCATCGGCTTTCAAAGCGCCCAAATCCAACTCGATCGTATCCATGCCAGGTGCGCTCAATGCGAGACGCTGAGGCGCCAACAATTTCGTAGCAATCAAGACCATGCGTGGATAAACGCGTGCGGTGATCATTTCATTCGAGTCATTGATGACCATTAGCATACGATCGCGACAGCCCAGATATTTTAAGCCCAATATATCGCAATTGATCTCCTCATTGTCCTCCAATTTTAGTGGTGCGCATGACTTTATCGGAAAAATGTTGATTTGTTCCAAAGTGCCTACGCGACGCCATTTCTTAGGAATAGCATTGCGTTTCTTCCACTGCAGATAGTACCAGTAAGCCAGCCCAGTGGCAAGCGTGACCCCAAAACCGATGGCAAGTTTGCTAGTCGCGCTTGATGGGCCTGTGTGTACGAATTTTTTCGTGTGAGTGTTGGTATAAATTACGCTCTGAAGGTGCAAAACAGAGGTATACTTACTTGACATCGCAATAAGTGGCCAACTTGTTGTTTGTATTGTGGTTTTGATAAGATTTACTCGTTCCGTATTTAGAACGTAATGCAAGTTATATAATATATAATCGTGATCGCGGACGGATTTAATAAACTTGTGCAAAATTCACTTACAAACTGTCGGCTATTGAGTTTTGGCTTAATGAAAAACTGGATTACGAAAAGAGAAGTTTTCAATTATTAACACAGGTTGCTGGAACGCGAAAGAAGCGAAAATGAATAGAGCGGCTGTGATACTTTGTATGGTGGCTCATATCCTCTCTCTGTACGTTGTGTTTATAGAGAGAAAAAACTTTTTTAAAATAAATACTGATAGACAATATAGCGTAGCAAATACCGGTCTGATCAGCTGTTAAAACAAATTATATGTAATAAGAGAATAAGTAGAGAGAAACTAAAAAAATATAGTTAGCGTCTCGTTGATACTAAGTATGTTATGTGGGGAGACAATTCAAATGAATATTTGTGTGTTTATATATATTAGTGATCATGCAATATTTTTTATTTGCTATCAATTCGAACACGCATTTAATTAGCAATCAAGCGATTTTTTAAGTGCAGCTTTTTAAAATGTGTAGCAAAGGCGTAAGCGCCGAATTAATGTTAATGATAATGCAAAACCTAAACGCATGCCACTTTCCGGTTCGAGTAGGAATTTCGAGAACCACTTGTCGTAGCGCTCACCGCAAAGTAAAGCTCTGATTTTGGTGCCAAAATTGAGGTATATACACCGCGATCCTGTAAATGCTCCAGCAAATGTGAGTACTCTAACTCGAGGCCTTCCATATCGGGTGTCGTGAACACTACACGTGTCGGCGATAACATTTTGAGAAGCACTAAAACCGATTTGGGATATTAACGATCGGAGATCATTTGATTTTGTTCACCTACCATTGAAGCGCAGTCCTAATAGATCACAATTCACTGCATCGTTTGGATTTAGTTTGAGTGGGCTCAGCGGATATATGTTCGTTCGGTCCGTCCATACTTATGCGCCGCCAGTTGCTGGGCGATATGCGTAAAATTTCAAGGCAACACCATTTATAACATTGTGGACACGGCGATATCGGAAATATAAATATAGTCGTTATTGTTTTGTTTGTGGTCAGTATCACAGTTCTAAATGAGTTGCTAGAATGCGAAGCGAAGACGGGCAAAATCGAAAAGTCGGTGGTCTTATCGTGCAGTTTTGAATGTAGGTCGTTTTTCGCTCTGGGTAAATACGGTATATATACGAATTTGTTAATTTCGAACTTCTTGAAGACAGGTTAATAACATTTGCAGTAAATCTAATGTGTTCGATAAAGCCACTTTTTAATTTTGAATTTTCACTTTTTTATCTATATTGTATAGGGTGATCAATTTCGAGGTTCTCTACTTTTTTAAAGATAAAAAACACAGAAATTATATTGATATACACCCCTTCTTAAAATTATTCCAACAGTTGGAAGAAAATTAGACATCAAAATGTTAATTGAAAAAAATTATGTAGAAAGATGTGACCAGTTAGTTTTAGCTTTTATATGTATACAAGTATTATTTATTATATATATTTTCGCTCGTATGCGTAGAAGGTTCATTGTATTATGGTTTCAACTAGCGGTCCTGTATAGGCTAGAAATGGTGAATATCCTACCCATTTTCAATTAAAGCAAAGCTTCGAATGAAATCTACTGGCCATTCAGACATCAAGTCGGCTTTAAATTTGACCCTTAACTTGGCGGATAATCTATATACACGTTTAATAAAGAGCGGGGAGAACCTGCACAGGCAAAGGAGCAAGTGAAAACATTTTCGCGACCTTCTTCTCAAAAGAAGCTTCTAGTGTTCCATTGATCGCATTAATTCATAATATTTTGCTCTGATTTTTTTTATTTAATACAACACTTTGAATTTCGAAGTAAGTGCCGGTATTAATGAATCTCTTTAATTGTCACTCTGTCTGGTATATTTTGGGTAGTTTTGAAGAGAAGCGGAAAATATACGTTTTACAGATAACATTACACACACTGGAGGGTTAAATGTACATACAAATACGAAGTTTGGTTGCCCAAGAACTTGGACTGCCTTACTTTTTTTCTACGCTTGACTAGCGTTCAAACAAAAACTATTGACCAACCCATGAACCAAACTAAATTTGACGAGACATACTTTTATATATACGGACATGAATGAGCAATAAAAAGGAAATAATAATAAAACAAATTTGACGGAATTGTATAAATGAAGATATATTGGGAAAAATACAAAGATTGAAAAAAAAACTTCAAAAAAAGAGCGTCAGACAGCGGAAATATTGCCAGCGTTACGGATATGGCGAAACTTATAGCGGGACCTAAGCAAACGCGCTCACTGACCAACAGAAATTGACGCTGCAGACATTTGAAAAAGAAAGTAGACGTTCAAAAAATTGACTGTCTGGCTGGTTGCGCGCGGGGGGGGGGGTGATAATTTAAAAACTTTCGTTAAATGATACATTTCTTCGAATTTCGTTGGAAAGGAAATTTGTTTTACAAAAATGGAATTTACAGTGAAGAAAAAAATGAAAAGGACTGCAGAGTTGTCGTATTTTAATGACAATAGGAAAGGGGGGAGGGAAAAGCGCAAACACTGGACAGCAAATATGAAAATATGTGGGATGCAAACAATAAACTTACGCTTCCGGCCGGCAAACATTGACGCGCACACACATAAAAGCTTGTGCAAGCAAAGTACTACAAACAGGCAGCTGCATTGACGCTGGTCTGCTGCATTTCCGTGAAATGAATTGATGAGCAACACTGCGCCGGATATGGCCGCACAATGCAGCACAGCACTGGCGGAATGGGGCAGGGCCATGCTCAAAGGAGCCAGAGAATTAACTGCAACTGCTGAGAGACAGCAGTGTGTGTCCGGCGCATGTAGGTGCGTGTGTGTGCATGTATTGAAGTGTGTTGGCTGACAGTTGGTTATTTCGAGATGTGGGCGCTGCGCTGCTGGTCACGTCATCAATGGGACATTGTGTACCTACAAATATTTTGCACACACATACACACGCACATACGGCCCCGCCCACATATTTGCGTGCTTTTCTATTTGTATATTCATCAACCGTTTACTCGGCATGTTTCCCTGCTGCCACAGGCCCTTGGCCGCCTGCGATGTGGCAGCGAAGCAATTTCATGCTATTTCCGTTTCATATTAAAGCAACATTAAAATTTGCTTGCGTGAGCCAAAGAGCAGCAAAAACAACAAGCACAAGTATGTGAAAAATATGCTGATGGCAGCAATGCATCGATTGCGGTTGCAATGCGAAACGGAAATGTGACGGCCCGGCCGGATAAGTGTACATAACGGTACAGAGTTGATGAGCTACTGGCTGCTGCCTGTTGGCTGTTGGTTGTTGGCCATCAGACGAAGACAAGCCGGCACCAACACGCATATGTGTGTGTGTCCGTACACAAGTGCTCGCGAGCATAGGTGCATAGTCATCATGGTTTGCACGTATTGATGTCACCGATAACAGTATTCTATCAGCGGCAACATGGGTGGCTGCTGTTGATGACATTGTCGATTATGTTCGTGTTAGAGTTGACAATGTAGTTTTAGTTGATGTTTTAGCCAACAGTGTTGTTGCTGTTGTTCTTGTTGTTGTCGTTGTTGCCACTGGCATATTTGCTCTTTTGTTGCACGTCAGCACGTCAGGCGGCATGGTCACCATTGGAAAGTGACAAGTGCAATGGACAAACTGCTGCCGCCAGCGCTCGTTTTCGGACCGTCATGTCGTATGAGTAATTTTCATTGCTCAACCCCGCGCCAACTATGGCTGCATTGACGGTTGTAATTTTGTCAGTTGCATTTCGCATATTTGTATGCATGAGGGGCAGCACAAAAGCTGTAGTATTGTAACGGCGGTGGAGCGGTGCGGCGGTTAGGTTTAATTAAAAACGTTCTTAGAATGTTGACGCAGTCAAAATTCAATCATCAGACTGATTACTCGCAATGTTTTTTGTGGTCGAGAGGGGAGGCGATACGTTAGCTCTTGGTATACCATTATATAATTCCAAGCGACATTATTTGATATCAAAGCTAAATTTTGAACCGAACGTTTTTGCCACTTAAAAATCTTTTGAAATTACAATTTTTTGATGAAAAAACTTGTTGAGTAATGTTAAAAATGCAGTATTTAACTGAATAAAAGACTGACCTTGCCTTTCAAAGACTGTACTAAACTTTGGTGAAAGTATTATCTCGGAAATTTCTAATACTTTTACGTATATAGCTTATTTTGTGCTTTTTTAAATAGCACTCTGAAAGCCATATTTAAAGAATGATGAAGAACTTAGTACACCAATTAAGACATGATTTTTACGGAGTGATTCGGAACACAAGTCTTCATATTTTGAAATATATTGGAGCGAAGAGATTGTAGAAGCGGAATAACACAGAATTTTCGTTGAAAATATTATTGTGAATATTTTTGGAAAATGTTCCAAAAAAATATATCTATAATTTTGTGTAAAAATTGTGTGCTGCCTTACCCAAAAAATATATATATATTTCCATATTTTCATTGTAAAACTTTCCCTTCAACCGCTGAATACTTGGGCAAGCGTTAAGTGAACAGTTAATTTAGCTCTTTAATTGAATAGCGTTACTTCAACAACCGCAGAGAATTGTAATTTTTTATTCATTTTCATACTTTTACGCATTCGCTTGTTACTGAAATGCGGTTTACCGCAAAGTAGCCGAAAATGCATTAAAGCAACCGCAGCATTTCCATTTGTTTTATCATGCACATACAGTTGTATATAAGCATATATTGCATCATAGTTATATTATATAACAGAAAATGTTTGTTTGTGTGTATTTCAGGATGCATAAGGGGTTATATACAGTTAGAAGGCCGAAAAAAAGTGAACTTTCCAAAAGTTTTTCTGAGAATTATTGATCCAAAAATTTATACACATATTATGGTATCTTCTAACTATATTTTAAGACTTAGTACTAGTAAAAATATTCATTTGGAAAAGAACTGCATCTAATCTCCGGGAGCTCCTCTCAAAAAAGACGTTTTGCGGTGACCACTATATCTCTGAAATTAAAAGAAATTAAAAAATCAAACATATTTCGTTAAAGTAATGTTCAATCTAGAAATTAATCGAAGGAATAAGCAAAATAACATTTTTTAGAAAGAATTGAGGTTTCTCAAAAAAAAAAAAACCATTTTTCACCGAAATTTCGGACTTAAATTGTTTATAAAAACAAAAATATTTATCGGAGAGAAAAAATATTTGACTAATTACTAAAAAATATATTTAAGAAGCTCGTGTTTTGGTACTAATCGGTTTAGTCGTTTGTATTGTACTTCCAAGCCCTCTGAAACGCCTTTTGAAATTTGCGTGTAACTCCGAAAATATTCAACGGAACGATATGAAATTCGAGTTTTTGGAAATTCTAACGGTATGTAACCCTACATATACATATTTATGTATATGTATAAGCAAGGTGATTGTGGCTGCTGGGTAAAAAGAACAATACGAAATACTTCCTATAATCAACGAAGTCGACAAGGTCCACCGCGATTCTTTTACATCTACACGAAGAAGAACTGAACCGATCTAAACATTGAAATCCAAAAAATTTAAATTCCGACAGTTACCATCAGATCAAAGCAAATCCATTAAAAATGTTTCCTAAATCGGTACAATATTTTTTATGTTCGTGTGAAGTTTGATCTTCATATGTCAATTAGTGTGTGTTTGGCAGCTGTGTGTTTACGACACGAAAATTAGTCTGACGATTTTTACTATGGAAAAAAATTGTACAACGAATTTGTTTGAAATAATGTGTTTCCAGTGGAACCACGGCTACGGAATCGTTGAAAATTTTGCAGAAGCATTTTGGAGAGTCAAATGTATGAACGTATTTGGCATTAGAGAGATATCAGAGGGTCTCAAGGGGGGTTTGGGTATGACAAAAGATCGGAATCTTTTGCAAACACGACATCGAGCATATCTCGCAACAAAGAAGCTATTAACAAGTGTATGGGAAATTTGATTAAGCGTTGACTTAGTGTATCCCCAGGAGCATATTTTGAAGGCGATAATTTGCATTAAAATTCGGGAAAATGAATTTTTGTTAGTTAGTCCGGGTTATTTTTAAGCTATACTGACAACGTCCAATCTCTGACATATATCCTAATGGCTGACTTATTTAGTCAACAGTATCTTACCGGTGAAGTGTTCCGTACTTTCCTCAATTCTCTTCTAGTAGATTACGTTCTGGAAGAA